AATAAATTCTAAAGTTTATAACAGCTGACTTAGTTTTGCTAATGATTTATTGTCAGTGAAGAAACTGAAGATGGAAGGATTTGTGATTTGAAGAAAAGTGAAATTTAAAAAATGTTCATTTTAATTTAAAAATTAGTATTTTTGCAACTTCAAAATTGAAATTTAAAATGTCAATACTGTAATAAATAAGTAGATTTGTAATCAAGGGAGATGAAGGTAAATCATATATGTGAAAGTTTTATTGAAGATTTGGTCAGTTATTTTTCTCATATCAGCCTACACAAGATTTAAAATTAATCAAAAGCAAAATGGTGGTATCCACTACTTACCTACCAGATTTACAAGTCATAACTTAAACGTTTCTATTAAGGCCATGAAAGTTGAATTTTGTCTCTAAAAGCGTTGGTGGATGTGTAACTATTATATGCAACAGATGTAAAGATTAAAACGTTTCTATTTTGTGTCTTCTTCCCGTTGCAAAGCACGGGTACAACAGCTAGTATATGTATATATAAAACAATGTGATGTGCAAGTTATGTTAAGTTAATCTAACACATGTTAAGCAGTTAGAATTTATTTAAAGTAGCCTCCAAATTCATATTAAACATCTATACATTGTAATTTTGTTTCCATGAAATCATATAAATAATATTATTTTCATAACTTAGACGCTTTAAAAAAATCCAAAGCAGAGCTGGAGTTGATACAGCAACGGTTATAGAATATTTTTTTTATATAATCATTGACATAGTTTTAGAATAAATAATCCATGATAAAAGGTTAGATTAAAATAAACCTACCTCATAGTTATTAAAAATATTATATTTAATTTCTTTGTATCAGCTGTCTGAAGTTGTGAAATATGCAGTTTAGCAGTTCTTCTTATTTACATTTAAATGTCAAAGCAAATGTAAACAAACATTGTTAGTGTTCTCATCACAGCCATGGGGACCAATCAATATTTACTTTTAAAATCTTCACATCAGAACTTTTAAAGCCAAAGGGGCAAAGCCTACGGTCTGTATCGAAATGTGAATATTCCTATAATGGTCCTTGGTATAGTAACTATATTTTTGTAAAATTATAGCCCAGTTGGTTCAGTAGTTTTTGCACCTATTAGTAATACACATACAGACAGACACCATTAGATTTTTATATAATAGTATAGATTTTCACGTACAAGGTGAAGCCAAGGACGAGAATAATTGGAGCAAGTGCCAGAAAATCACTTTAAAATGCTAACATAAAAATAAAGTACCTCAGTATAATTAAAAATCTAGTATTTCCTAATTTGCATTATCTTAAATACGAACATAGTACTAAAAAGATTATAGCAAACTTACATAACAACGTTAAAATAAGAAGTTTAGGTTTAAGATTATGTTCATTGTGATGTAAATACACATTACAAACTACAAAGTAAAACTAGCTAATGGATATTTTTGTTAACATTTAAAGGTACAGAGTAAAAAAAACTGATTTCAATAATATAAATGAATTATAAAAAAGCACTAGCGTTTGTAGTAGGCAAATGGAGAACTGATTGAGAGCAAGGTAAAACAAATTTAGAGCAAGGGAAAATCAGCACATCATTTTCCCTTATCTATATAAATAAAATTAGAGTTTTGTCTGTACATTGCTCAGAATCATACATTTTTAGGTTATTTTTACGTTTTATACATTAAAGAAGCCGAAACAAGTCTCATCTAAATTTCTGTCTGTCTGTCTGTCTGTCTGACACACTCAAGATGGCATTTTACGCAATCTTCTCCAGGAAAACGAGAGTACCTATCAAGACCCAAGTCATTTTAACGTATTCACTGGATTGGCGAGAGTGTCTTTAGCCATTAACCCATTGGGGAAGGAATTAATCCGCTACCTGCAGCACCCTCTGGCGGCAATTAATTTTACCGAATTTGTAGACTTTTACTCTAGCTGCTATAGAAAGAAAACCTTAGGTAATAAATTAATAATTCTTTCACCATTTTGTTTACAGTAAAATTGTCTACAGAAAAGTGTTAATTGGATAGTCAAAGTTCTAAACTAAAAAAAAATATATATATATATATATATATAAAAAGATTATAAAAATAAAAATTTTAAAAACAATATTTTGAAAGTAAACTTGATATACAAATTCCAAGATTAATCCAGACACCAAATAACACTACTATTATAAAGGTCAATCGATTCCCTACGTAGAAAAATCAAAAGTTGTGTACTTTTATAAGTAATAAAATTTTTTTAAAATTGTTTGTTTACCTTACCACAGCTGATTTTTGGTGATGTGTGGTTTCCATGGCAACACAAAATTGTTTGTTATTCGCTAAAATAAATGAGTAAATACGCAAATCAAGAAGCAAGATATTTATAAACATTATAATAGTAAGAAGAAACAAAAAGGGCGAAAAATAATAATAACTAAATAAAAATGGCGCTGCCTAGCGTTGACACGATCGGCTCTCGTAAGTCGGCCTCCGGGCCTGCAGCGGCCGTACGAGTAACGCTCGTAAGTCGGCGCCAATGGGTTAAAATATGGTCTCACTACTTTGTAATTAAAATTACGGCCGTTCAAAAATGCAGTTTTGTGCGATTTTTGTGAAATTTTTTTCCAATTTGTATCACATAATCATCTATGAAACAACGAACAGCTGTTCGGATCAAGATTATTTTTTCTAGCTGTCACTGAAATGTTTACAAATGTTGTTTACAAACACCACAACCATTTCCGATCACGTTTTGAAGGCAAATCCCATCCAAGTGAGATTAAAAACGTTTTTATTACATAAAGGATTTAATTAATCGCAAGTGGAATAATATAGTGTAACCGTAAATTAAATAACTAGGCATCATCCAGGTCAGGAACCAGAAATATGTGTATAAAATTGTTTTGGAGTTTTGATAACCAGAAAGAAGACATTGAATCATGATTGAATCAGTGTTGTATACGGCTGGAAAACTTAAATTTACTAATGACTGTCGCCAATAGCTTAGAAACAATGTTCCACTCATTGACGGCTCTTCAATGGCGGTTGTGTAATGTGTAAAGCAAAAAATTACAACTGCAGTGGGTGATTGTAACAGAGGTTTACGGATGATGCTGAACTTGATTTTCCAATGTGTCACTTTCTGTTCCTACCATTGACTATATAAAGTCAATAGTTCCTACTCACCGTGTGATGCAATCGCTGGACCATACAGCCAATAGGCCCATAGCCCTTCTCTTGGGTACGTGTGGTACGTATGCTTACCCAATTATTTATAACAACCCTTTCGACAACGATCCTTGATACCGGTACTTTTCCATAGAATACACGGCCTACCTAGGTACTTAAGAAATAAAATTATAAACGTCCAAAAAACCAACGTTGTGTGATTTTTGTCACATTTCCTTATAATGTTAATATATATACCAGCAACCATTGTTTAGAGAATATGTAATCTATTAAATAACAGAAAGTTATGTTGTATAAGGTTTTTTTTCAAACTGACACCGATAAGTTTACATTAAGAGTTGTGTACAAATAAAGCAATTAATGGGAAATAACTTTGATTGCTGATAACTTTTTACGAGAAAATCCAAAACCAAGAGATCAATAACCTTGATTAACGCATATAATTGGTCGGCTGTACTACAGTTCTTAACTGTAAACGTTGGTTTTTGGTACGGTACTGGTTCTTTTCCTTTTAACCTTTAGTAGCAGCAAGAATCATTTTTACGTACCAACACATCACAGTAATTTACAAATTAGTTATCGTTGGTGTTGCACCTTATTTATTACATGCGTAGGCCTATTCAATTTAATTGATGTCTTAACTGTATAATTTTTGCTTTTTCTGTCTGGATTCCAAAATGTTATGCTAAGAAAACTATAACGCATTTTAGTAAAACATTTATTCAGCAAACCATCATGAATTGTTCAAACACTTTGAACGTTGTTTATGTATCAATAGTTCGTGGCCTATTTTGGTAATTTTTATTACAAATTACCAATCTAAATCGTCTATAGTAGGCCTACTGTATTACATTTCATATAGCAAACCGATTCAGATAGCATTTCGACAGAATTTCGAGTCATCTCCGGTCCAAGCAAATATAAATTGTTATGATCAAATTTTATGGCATTAACAAAGATTTCAAGTACTAATTTTATATGTACCTTTTTATGCTTAAAGCGTAGCAGATTCCCTAATTAAGTTCGGTATTTTTGTGTGTATGTATGATGGTAACGCATTAATGTCCTTATTTCTCAATGTTTCATGGAAAGGACAAGAGCGCCTTGATAATGAAAATGTCAACCCGAATAAAGTGTTAAATTAAAAGGTTGAGGTAGTACCTTAAATACTTTTAACCATTATGTTATAGTCCTTTAAATTCTGAACAAAATTGTACAAATCCCATTTCCGTATATTTACTCTCACCGCTTACACATGATAAAGGTTGTTGACAAACTTATGGGAGAAAGTATGTGTCAGAATGCTGATACCGTTTATTTAGTTTAATCATTGGATATAACATATGGACCAACAAGATCCGGGTGACATTTAATTGCGAAGCATTAGTTTTGGCTTGAAACTGTCAGATACTGTATTTGCGAAGGAATAGTTTTGTCAGCATATCTGAAAGTATGCAAACCAACTGCTGTGCTTTATATAAGAAGGTTTTAACTGACTATGATAAGATCCCCGTGCGTAGAACGGGCACACAGCTAGTTCTAAATAAGACCTTGGGAAACAATTGCTTTCTTGATATCAGCTGTCATCGAAAATAGTTAGTTTCTGTCTGGAGTGATGAAAACTATATTTTTGGTTGTTTATTGAACATTTATTTTCCTTAAAAATTAATTTAAAATTTGCTTAACCGGTATCGTAATCTCGGTAAAATTACAGCTTGATATCTTCAAAGTACTTAAACCTTAATTCAGTGGATTCAATTAGCCAACTAGGTCAGAATCTCTTATCACTGTACATTTGTTACTTCCAACACTCCATGGTTACAGAATGCCAGTACCAGCTGGACGCTGACTACATACAGAGGTACCTGGGTGAGTTGACTCCGATGCAAGAGTCTCGACTGATACAACTACGCAACTGGGTTTCTCAGTTGCAGAAGGGAAAGGTGAACTACAAACTCTTCTGATATCATAACTGTTACCTGTATCAAAGGGATACTTATAATCAGTGCTCGATTTGTAAATAATGAGATGCCGGAACTCTAACCTATTTAATGTGATTAGAACCTATTTATGTACCTATTTATGCCAATATTTTTATCTTTCAGATAGAGAGGTACCGGAACTCCATCCACCCCCCCCCCCCCAAAATCGAGCACTGCTTATAATGATTGTATTGGGATAAAACTTAACGCAGCTTTTTATGGAGTAATATTAGTATTAACAATATTTTTTTAAGTTAAAATATGACATTGCTTTAAGTATAAAAACTCAGTTGTGTTTTAAGAAGTTAAATTATCAATGTGTATAACATACTCATTAACCCTTTTGGCAACTCAAATTCAAGTTTAATTTTGTCCACCAACAATTTACCTTTTGACTTGTTCTTAAGTTTCCTGTGATCTTTAAATACTTGGTCATTCCATCTGTATCTTGGTCCTATTGATGGACATCTTTCTTCTAGTTGACCTCTCCACAGCTTTCTTATTGTTGTATTATCCTCCTTTCTTCCTACATAACCTAGCCATGTGACTCCTCCACTTATTTCCACTGCCCCAATTCTGGTATTCAGTACAGATTCCCGAGCTCTCTATAGTGTTCTCCACAGCTTTCTTATTGTTGTATTATCCTCCTTTCTTCCTACATAACCTAGCCATGTGACTCCTCCACTTATCTTCACTGCCCCAATTCTGGTATTCAGTACAGACTCCCGAGCTCTCTATAGTGTTCTCCACAGCTTTCTTATTGTTGTATTATCCTCCTTTCTTCCTACATAACCTAGCCATGTGACTCCTTCACTTATCTTCACTGCCCCAATTCTGGTATTCAGTACAGATTCCCGAGCTCTCTATAGTGTTCTCCACATCCTTTCTTCCTACATAACCTAGCCATGTGACTCCTCCACTTATTTCCACTGCCCCAATTCTGGTATTCAGTACAGACTCCCGAGCTCTCTATAGTGTTCTCCACAGCTTTCTTATTGTTGTATTATCCTCCTTTCTTCCTACATAACCTAGCCATGTGACTCCTCCACTTATCTTCACTGCCCCAATTCTGGTATTCAGTACAGATTCCCGAGCTCTCTATAGTGTTCTCCACATCCTTTCTTCCTACATAACCTAGCCATGTGACTCCTCCACTTATTTCCTCTGCCCCAATTCTGGTATTCAGTACAGACTCCCGAGCTCTCTATAGTGTTCTCCACAGCTTTCTTATTGTTGTATTATCCTCCTTTCTTCCTACATAACCTAGCCATGTGACTCCTCCACTTATCTTCACTGCCCCAATTCTGGTATTCAGTACAGATTCCCGAGCTCTCTATAGTGTTCTCCACATCCTTTCTTCCTACATAACCTAGCCATGTGACTCCTCCACTTATTTCCACTGCCCCAATTCTGGTATTCAGTACAGATTCCCGAGCTCTCTATAGTGTTATCCACAGCTTTCTTATTGTTGTATTATCCTCCTTTCTTCCTACATAACCTAGCCATGTGACTCCTCCACTTATTTTCACTGCCCCAATTCTGGTATTCAGTACAGATTCCCGAGCTCTTTATAGTGTTCTCCACATCCTTTCTTCCTACATAACCTAGCCATGTGACCCCTCCACATATTTTCACTACCCCAATTCTGGTATTCAGTACAGATTCCCGAGCTCTATAGTGTTCTCCACATCCCGTCTTCCTATTTCAAGATTAAATCTTCTTCAATATTGTATTTTTGTACGTTACTAACTTTTCTATTTTTCCCTCAGGTGCCAAGTGACACAATGTTGTTGCGTTTTCTGCGAGCCCGGGACTTCAATGTGGAGAAAGCCCGAGGCATGTTGTCAGAGTCATTGACTTGGCGCAAGAAACACGCAGTTGACCGCATCATCGCAGAGTACCAGGCTCCTCAGGTAGTCAAGGACTACTTCCCTGGCGGCTGGCACCATAGTGACAAGGGTACGGCACTTAGTGTGGTCTGGCAATAACCGTAACACTCGGTGTTTTTATTTTATTTGGGATTCCAGAACTAAAACCACCCAGAAGCTGTAACCTCTCCACTCCACTCTTCACCGTCCTATACATTACTTCTCCCTGCAGAAAGTTGTTGTATTCTGTTTAAACTCCCAGGTAGAAAGAAATAGATAGTTTCTATTGCAGTTAAAGTTTCAATAATTATTGTTATAGTACTAGTTTAATGAAAAAAATGTTTTTTTTCCAGATGGCCAACCTCTTTATTTGCTGCGGCTGGGTCAGATGGATGTTAAGGGATTGCTCAAAGCTATCGGTGAAGACGGACTACTTAAACTGGTAGATCATTTTTATATTTCAAACCTATCTATTTGCATCGCCTATTTTTATTCATCACAAGATAAAATTTAAATTAATTTTAACACCCTATTAGGGATGGTCAAGTCTTGAAATTTCGGGAAATTTTCGAGAAATTTTAAATCTCGTTACACGAGACGAGTTTTTTTTTTGGCCGAGATTTTTACCGAGACGGGAATAAAAAAAAAAATAAAAAAATTTAAAACCCCTGCTGAAAGTCAATGCAATACCCGCAATACAGGAGCGTGTTGTAGTTGCGTTTCCTTTGTGAAGGCGTTCTTATTTAATTAATTCTTTAAATGTAAATATTACTTTAATTATTTTAATAATATTACTTTAATTATTTTAATAATATTACTTTAATTATTTTAATAATATTACTTTCATTATTTTAATAATATTACTTTCATTATTTTAATAATATTACTTTCATTATTTTAATAATATTACTTTAATAACATTTGAGAAGTTTTGTAAAGTGTAAGCAGTGTGAGGAATGTTTTATTACTATAAAAAGTCAAAACAAGTAACTATTTTATAAAAATTAATATTGCTTTTATTTTATGATTTATTTTATTTTAGGATAAGTTGAACTCTATCCTAACTGATATCACTATGTTTCCTAATCGTAGGCATTTTTAATAAGTTAGGCGTGATTATTAAAAAAATGTTATGCTGATGTTTTTTAATAAAAGTTTGTAAATATTCTTGCCTATTATCATTATTTTTGTATTTAAACAGTCATCTATCAATGTTACAAAATCAGGTAATAATTTTGAACGTGCATTTCCCGTTGTGTATGAGAAGGGAAATCCCGTCTCAATCTCGTCTCGAAATTTTATGAGAAATAAAAAATCTCGTCTCGTCTCGTCTTGAACTAAAAATCCAATCTCGTCCATCCCTACACCCTATCAAACCAAGAGTATTTATTTCTATGTCGTTTATGCCGTATGTGTGGTGTATTCAAATTATCAACAAAGCTACTAAAGTGGATTTATTATATTTTCTTAACTGAAGTGTTTGACAATGGCATTCCACCAAACCACCTTGATAGGTACCATTAGGAACTGCTGACAGGTACTGTCAAACCTATTCTACTCAGAAGGTAAAGGTCAAATGGTCAATTAAATGTAAAGTTATGAGGTTGGAGAGAAATAAACTTTCTTTTAGCGTTTTAGCGAATTACCCATAGGGAATAATTTATTACCGTAGGTCTCATGTTACGACCTCGACGACCTGGGACCGATTTACTTTTTCCTTTTAAGTTCCCCAGAGGTAAAAAAAAAACACCATCGGTTCAAATTCATGTATCTATATGTTTATATGTGTCTGTTACCACGATAACTAGAGCAAAAATTATCCGATTTTGATGAAATTTGGTATAAACGTGTAAACTTACATTTATTTGATTTGTTCGAACAAGTTTGCAAACCAGCATGATCGGACTATGGATCGGAGTTCATGGGGGGTTTTATTGGGTAAAAATGGGGGTTTCCCATTTTTCACCCTAAAACATAACTTTGCAATTTCTTTCCAAACCATTTTGTAGAGCTCAAAAAACAATTAATTTGGTTTGATGAAGCGTTGTTGTACACCTTACAGTTACAGAAAAAATCCAAAAAAGTATAAATAAAAAATTATTATGTTATTCTTATGGAGAATAAATAAACTGCTTTCTTTAGCTTGCTTGTCTATGGACATATTTTAATGAAATTTGGAAAATCAATATTTCAATAAAACACACCTTATTTTCTTCCCTGTAGCAGCAAACCTAAGTACTTATTAAAATTAATAATATTGAAATAGGACATAAATCTAACAATTTTAAGGGAATAATGCAGTGGAATTTCAGCCAGGTTAATGGAAATTCTTTTAGTTTGCAGGTTTGCTGCGGCAGGGTTATTTATTCTGTCAATTTGTTAAGGGTCACTAGATCTATGGATAAAGATAAAATTACATAATTTTAGGGGTCTGCGGGTCCCCGATTTTTTCGGGTCGGGTCGGGCCAGCGGAAGGCCCGAGAGACCGGGTCGGGTCAGAGATTTTTTCGGGCCAAGATCGGGTCGGGCCAAAAAAAAAATTATTATTTTCAAAGTTATAATAAGTAATTTTCAAAGAAACACTCTTATATATATTATTACAGAGGAATTAAAACGTTAAAATTATAATTAAATATTAAGTTTGCTCACGTTTAAGAACAAAGACACAACAGAGCAAATGCCGTACTGTCACTAGCCAGAGCCAGTCGTCTACTGACAAAACAAAAGCCGTGACACAACAGTGCAAAGAAAACGAAGTCAAAAGAAAGACTATTTATCCAGAGGTACCAGTTTAATTATTTATTGTTTATTCCATACCTAGTTTAAAATATATTTTAGTATTTTACTTACATAATAAATTATAAACAAAAGAAATATCTGATATAGTGTACAGATCTGTATCTTGTTCTTTTATTTTCCTGTGTCCTTTTTGTCATTCAGTAACAAAACAAAACAACACTTCTGATCGTCTGGTTCGGCATTGTATGGTCACCATTTAATTTTTTTTTAAGTATCAAGTATCAGCAAGTCTACAAAGAGGTTAGGCCTAAATATTTTAAAATTTTATGAAAGTTTTTATCAGTAAAATTATTTTTTTCTTAAGTTAGATTGAGTTTCAAAAAAGATATTTCTAAGATCCAATACAATATTTACAAGACACAAACTACCATGAATTAATTTCTTTGGAAATTATCTGTAACAGTTTTATATTTTTGAATAAAGAAAATATATCTTTTTGTCTCTACTTCCTTGTTTTGTTACTTGCATTTTGTCAGCAATTGGAACAATCGGGTGGTGTAATAGGGGTGGGGGAGGGGGAGGGTCTATGACCTTGAGTGTCCCCGGGCCTGGCTCTGGTTGTGTAAGAGGGGCGGGGAGGGGAGGGGGAGGGTCTGTAACCTTGAGTGTCCCCGGGCCTGGCTGTGAGAGTGGTTCATGGTTTTTTGTTTACATTCTACTACCCTTCCCCCTTCCTTCCGAGAAAAAGACCCTACAGTTTCAAAAACATCGACTTACAGTATAAAAACATTGAGTTGTGTTGCTAATTAGGACACTATAATGTCTCTGCTGTCTGCTTATGTTGCCAAATTAGCATTTAACTTTCTTTTCTCTTGATTTAATATAATTTTCTATATATTAAGAGTTCCTTTTCAGGTACCTAATAATTGTGATATTGTTTGACTTGAGTTTATGGATTTTTAATTCTTTTCATTTATTAGCTAAAATCAGTTGTTTTAGGATTTTAATCTCTTGCAATACCGTAGGTCTTTAACTGTGTATGACATGATATATGCAATTTTTACAGTCTTTACTATAACTAACTAAACTATACCATAAACAATGTATGTGTGTTATTTACTGTTTTAGAGTTTTTAAAGTGAATTAGTTTACTCACAATCTTTTCTTCAATGAGTTCTCCACTTGTCATGTTGCTTAGTCTATTACTATTTTAGGCCCTATAAAAAATAATTCCTATGTAAAGCTGTAGGCCTAGTAATGCCAATAATAAATAATTCTTTATTTATGATGATGTAACTAATAATGCTATTGTAAGTGTGAGGTTTTTATACTTAGGAGGTTAGGAGGCAGGGAATGAATGATTCATATTGCATGGTGGAAACATAGAATTTTTATTTTATTCTTGCTTGCAGTCTTTAAGCCAGTCCACAGGCCCTAAACTTGAGATAAGGTTAATTGATTTGTTTATGATCCTTTTATATTAAGTTCCATTACAAACTTGTTGTAATATAGCTGTTTAGATATTTCAACAGTTATGAAAATGGGAAAGAATGGCTTGATAAAAAAAAATATTTTCTTCTTTCTTGCAGTTGAGGCAACTCCTAAGCTGTAAATAAGTTATGAACATGAAATAATATACATAAATACAATCGTTTTTCATATGTTATTTTTAAGTAATATTATAAACACAGATAGGAGTTAAAAAAAGAAAAAAATCTGGTAGTTAATAATTTTTGGCCCGACCCGATTTTGGCCCGAAACCCGAGGACCAAAATTATCGGCCCGACCCGACCCGACCCGAACCAAAAAAGTCTGACCCGCAGACCCCTACATAATTTGTTCTAACCTCCTATGCAAACAGGGACGATACTGCACTACGGCCGTTTCAGAGATAATTCCATCTTCAGGTGCGTAATGGAACACTAAACTATAGTATTTTTGTTACGTTTAACTCAAAAAGCCTTCATTTGCATTGTGTCAGGAGTTAAATAAATACTAAACAAACCATTTGGCGGTCCTCAGTTTTTAAGGATGAACACCAAACCTCATGATTTTATCACACATGCTCTAAATGTGTTATGTATTAACGTATGTCCGTCCTGTTTTTTATGTTCAATATTTTTTTAACCCCTGGCACAATGCAAATAAAGACTACCACTACACACCTGAAGATGGAGTTATTTCTGAAATGGCCGTAGTGCAGTATCGCCCCTGATTGCGTAGACGGTAAGAACAAAATATATTTTTATATTTTCACGCAATCTGCCACACTCAAGAATTATGATAAAGATAATTTACATTTGGTTTACACCTCATATTATTAACATCTTTTAAAAGTGACAATTTTTTCTGCATTAAGACAACAATACACAGTTATTACACAGAGTGAGAGGTCGTCCAATCTCTACCTGGTGTCTGTTGGTAGACCTGGAGGGTCTAAACAATACATCACTGATATGCTTGTTACAGACACTGCATGTATGTGAGGAAGGCCTCAAGTTGACTGATGAGGCCACCAGAGTTAGAGGTCGTCCAATCTCTACCTGGTGTCTGTTGGTAGACCTGGAGGGTCTAAACAATACATCACTGATATGCTTGTTACAGACACTGCATGTATGTGAGGAAGGCCTCAAGTTGACTGATGAGGCCACCAGAGTTAGAGGTCGTCCAATCTCTACCTGGTGTCTGTTGGTAGACCTGGAGGGTCTAAACAATACATCACTGATATGCTTGTTACAGACACTGCATGTATGTGAGGAAGGCCTCAAGTTGACTGATGAGGCCACCAGAGTTAGAGGTCGTCCAATCTCTACCTGGTGTCTGTTGGTAGACCTGGAGGGTCTAAACAATACATCACTGATATGCTTGTTACAGACACTGCATGTATGTGAGGAAGGCCTCAAGTTGACTGATGAGGCCACCAGAGTGAGAGGTCGTCCAATCTCTACCTGGTGTCTGTTGGTAGACCTGGAGGGTCTCAACATGAGGCATCTCTGGCGACCAGGCATCAGGGTGAGTAAATACATCATGACATCTGCCGCAACTGTAAACAATTCCTACTTTAGGTAACAAGCCCAACCCCTGGATTCATGTTAACCTGTCCACGACTATAGCTTCTCCTGCAATCACGGGGAAATTGTTTTTTACTGCACAATCTTTGCAGACTCTTTCTTCAATTGCAATAACGTCGTGAGGAAGCTTGACTCAAAGATCGTAAATGAAACCCGAGCCGAGCTTGGTCCAAACTAGGGTTGGACGGGTCCCGGAATTTTGGGAAAAAAATATTCCTGATTTTCGGGATGGGATTACTTTTGATTCAGGAATTTTTTGGGAAATTTATACTGGGCTACAGTGAAATGTGTTTTAATTTTAAATTAAGTGTTTAATGTGGAATTTTATTTCAAGATAATAGGCCTACTATGTTTTTGTTTGATATTGTCAGTCTGTCAGAAACTAGTGACTTGATCATTTTTATAAATGTACTGAGTGAAGAGGGTAGCCCTAGTACCCATAACCTTCAAACTTAAGACAGATGAAGTGCTTATCCAAGTGATTATTTTAAAATACCTAATTGCATATTGATGTTTTTAACTTATAACACAATATGTAGGCCTAGTTTGATATTAGTTTTCTGTTTTATAAATACATTTATTTTTATAAATTCTGTTTCTTATTTGAATTGAAATTATTCTTAAAGTTACCTTATTAAGTTAGTTAGTTAGGTTGATTGTCATGTTAGTGAAGAGGAATTAAAGGCAAGAAAAAATAAAACACACAATAACAAGTGATGTGTAGGCCTAAATAATTTAATGCTGCAGCCAACAAGTAGTCTAGGCCAATTTTTTTATTAGGCCTAAGGTAAGAGGTACTAATAATTAGTAACCATATAACTTATAAAATTTGGTATAAGTATTTAAACTACCTATTTAGGCCTAGGCAGGGTTTAGGCTAGGATGAAATTTGTTTCATCAAAATGAGCAAACTCTCTGCAAAGACAAAAAACTAAGTTAACTGTAGAAAAAATATTATTCAATAGGCCTAACTTAAGCATTTAAAACAAAAAATTCCAGTAGGCTAATATTACATTTGTTAGAACATAACATCTTTCAATTTTATTTGTAGAAAATTTGCCGTAGGCTTAGCCTGCAAAACAATGTAAACTTAGCATTTTTAAGTTGTGAATAGCAAGATGCTAAAAATACTACCGCAGCTTAAACCCTGGGCCTAGGCCTACTTAACGCGCAACTACTCGACTCGATACTCGAGTTTTTACTCAAATACTCGACTCGACTCGAATTGAAAAATCACTACTCAGCCACCCCTATAGATTAGTGCCACAAATGGTAAAAATTAATTTTGTTTGTCTTTTTTGGTAACTAAAATACTCAAGATTTTCTTTTTATGCACAGGAAAAAATCCTGTCCCGTCTCAAAAATTGGGAAGGAAATAAAAATCCCGTCCTGTCCCGTCCCGAACTAAAAATTCAATGCCATCCATCCCTAGTCCAAACTGATATCTCTAAACAACCATTAGCCTGGCCAGCCTCTAAAACTTTAAGGACCCGCAGTTTCCTAGTTGTAACGCCTCTAAACCTGTAGGCTTAACTGATTGCTTTTTTCACAGGGGGGGAGGTTAAGGGTATTAGTCTACTCCCAGCTACTTCGGCCTGTTGGCCTAATGTAGTACCCTTCAAATCAGTCTGACAATCCTAGGGTTCTGGCATAGCCTAGGAGCTGTGAGACGCCCAGTTTCCTCATCTCTGTAGGTTCTAAATGCAGCCTTCCCAGAGATGTAAACCTGTTTTGGGCCAGACAATCTAGCCATAAGTGCTCAGAGGTTTCCATCCTTTGTAAGCCAAAATTCTGTAAAATAGTCTTACTTTTTCAAATAAGTCCTCAACTGCTCACCATCTGCAGTAAGTTATATACATTAGGGGTCTGCGGTGCACCGAAAAAGTCGGTACGGTACGGTACAAGCTTAATTACCGTCATCGGTTCGGTACAGCATTTTACACGGTACAAATTCGGTTCGGTACAGCCTATTATAATAATAAATTACTTTCAGTTTACTATCGTAGTCAACGGCAGTTGGTTCCAAGCACATAAAAGTCTTATCAGTTGTTTGTTTACGATCTTCATAATTTATTACTAGCGTGATGATGCAATAAAAAACCCATTAGCAGTCCCAAATCCATTAACATTTTATCACGACAATAATTGTTGTATTGAAGTAACTGTTGAGTTTTATCACTTTTATTTCTTTACGACTTTCCCCAATTCTGTTTTATCATAAAAATAATAGTTTTATGATGACTGTTAAATGTTATCTCTAACTTAATCAGTATTTTCGTGAATATTGAATTTGCCGCTGGCCATTGCCTACTGCCATAAAACTGTTTATGGCTACATATTAAACTTGTAACTAATCTACAATCTTATTTTATAAATTAAATATTTGTTATGGATATTTTATCTTTCTATTGACGACCATGGATATATACAAACTTTTGTCGTGATTTTGATTTTAACATCAAAACACAATATTGCACAATCGTGATATTTTAGGCCATTGACCTTTATTATGCATCCGGTATTGCTGTTTAAGAAGAGAAGCACGTTGATAAATTATAAATTGATATTCCCGTAGTTAAAAAGAATTATTTTATAAACCTATAAAACAAAATCATAAAATCTTACATAAAGATAACAATAACGGAAATTGTAAAAAGGGTATAAAGATAACAACGTCAATCTTTATCTTTGTTCTTCTATTTCTTGGGTTTCCCTTCATCACGCATTCAACAAGTTGCCATGGTTACTAATCACCCATGTCGTTATCAGCTTTTGTGACATAGCGCACAGCAGGGGGTAAAACTTGACGAAAATCGGTTAATTTTTACCTATTATTTAATTACCAATGAATGTACGGTACTACTTTATTAGTATTTGGTATTGTATTAATAATCGGTCCAAATGGCAGATTTTTGTCAAATTTTACACCAAATTTATTGAAATTTCAACAATTATTACCAAATATTTGTATTCATTTAAAAGATTGATTTATGGTATTGGGTTCCCCACTGAGTGCAGCCGAGCGGCACTAATGAGGGTCACTAATGAGGGTCGGACCTTCTTGGGGGTGAACTATAGACGGCTTATCAGACCCTCCCCTCCCCTCCCCCGTGGTCTGGAGAAAGCTTGTAAACAAACTATTGCACAAGCGCGCGTGACTTGACATTGGGCAGCTTCAATTATAATTTTGTCAAATGAACTGTGATGTTTCAAAATCAAAAACAATAATTTGGGACCATACTGCTTAACAATAATGGACTGCAATTATTGTTGAACATACAATCCATTTTTAACAAACTAAGATTATACGATTCAAATACAATTATAAAAATTATTTTGGTATTTTACTTGGGGTAATGAAGTTATGTAGGCTAGTGTAATTCTCGGTTCATCAAGGTTCTACTGAATTATGTTTGGCAGTGAATAAGTGTAGAATGCAATTTATAAATTTAGGGATACACACCTTTTACACAGTTATAAAGTCTAATTGCCCAACATCAAATCTTACTCTGTGATAATCCAAATTTTAGTTTCAGAAAAAAACTTTGCAAGAATTGTATCCATCTTATAACTTAACTAGTTTTGAAGCTGATAAAAAAAAATGGTCTTTGCCATTACTTCATCATAACCTCCAGTTTTTCATTGTCATCTGCTGTGAACAGCTGGCAAAACTACACTGTCTTCTACTGAATGCTTTTATATGTTTAAAAAAAAAAACAAAAAAAAAAACAACTAGACATTGTGTTGTTTGGAAATAATTTACCAGTTTTGTGAAATTATCTTGTCAATAAATGTTTCAAACATGTTTATTCATAAAAACTCTTATCCTATTTTTAAACTACTTTATCATGGCTATTCAAAGTATCTCAGAGTAAAAAAAGTAAAGCCTTAATCTCAACTGTGATTTTTCTTGACACAATCCTCGTAGTAGTAAAAGGTTTTGTTTTAATAATATGTGGTACAGTAATTGTTGTTAGAAAACCATGAATGTAGGATCTGGATACTATCCATTTTCATAGTAATGTCTATGTATTAAAGTTAAAAATAATGGTTTAGATACAGTTCTGAGAAGAAAACCGCAAAAATACGGGTAGCCACGTACCGTACCGATTTTGTACCGAGAACCGAGGTACAAAATATTGTACCGTACCGAACCGTACCGACCTTAAATTTTCTGTACCGCAGACCCCTAATATACATATATCTGCAGTGACATACAGTCTTGTCCCATGTCCAACACCTAAAAATGACAGTGCACACAAAGTGTATTAAGAAAAATGTAATAAAAATTTTCAGTCGCTATGAGTGTAAATTGCTGATAATTATTTGTCATTTTGTTGTCAGGCTCTACTGAGGATCATAGAGATCGTGGAGGCCAACTACCCAGAGACTCTAGGCCGTGTTCTGATCACTAGAGCTCCCAGGGTCTTCCCCATCTTGTGGACGTTGGTCAGCACGTTCATAGGTACGGCTACAACAACTAACGTCCCCCGTCACTGTATGGTGGTGACTTCACAGATAATACTACCCTTCATTATAGGCTACTGATGTCAGTGGCGGATCTAGAACAGTCACAAGGAGGGGGGGCGAACCGAGGGTTGTGGGGGGTTTGGGGGTACCCCCCCGAAAAATGTATGTAAACTAAGTCTCCAAAATGGCAGTTTTATACCATTTCTTTGTCCAAAGTTAGTGTGACAAATTATTTTAAGCAATGTGTATTCACTACTGTATTACATGCAGTAAAAAATACATATATGTAAGCCCGAGGGGGGGTCGGTCGCCCCCTTCGCCCCCCCTCTGGATCCGCCACTGACTGATCTGTTCAGTGAAATACCGTCCCCCGTCACTGTATGGTGATGACTTCACAGATAATACTACCCTCATAAGTTTTAGTACCAGGGGACCGAGCATTGCTTGTGATGCTTAATTTGTTTGATATGTTAAATAAACAGAGTCCTACATATCTGCAATATCCATGATATTAAAAAAAATACAAATTAAAACTGTATGACGTTGCTATACATTTACTGAATGTTGATGGCAATAAATGGATTTGATTTGATTGGAATAAAGTTTAAAATATGTAATAAAACAAATGATACAAATAAAATTTTTCATGCTCACGTATTGGTGCTATTTGCTCAACCTAGTCATTTCAAGTCATTGAAAAACGAAGGCCTAAGTAAACTTGAATTACCTACACGTAAAAAAGAAATACCAACAATAAAAAGTTTGCATTTAATAATAGTACTTTACAGTATTGCCATTTTTTAAATTTGAGCCATTGTATAAGACTTTATGTTATAATAACTTAGTTAATCTTATATTTAATAGTTTATTTGCCTATATTTGACATGGGGTTTCCTTTACCAGTTAATTGACTTAGCCATTGGTCACATCTTACAGTTTTGTGCTAGGCCTAAGAAAATGTTGTTTTTGAAATCATTGTGCGCAAACGTTACTGATATTATAGTAGATTTTTGCTTTTGTAAACGATTAACATAATCATAAATAACTGGCTAAACAGTTTTTCAGTGAAGTCAATTTTCAGATGACACAACTCGCAGCAAGTTCCTGTTTTATGGAGGTAATGACTACCAGGGTCCTGGGGGACTCAGTAACTACATTCCGGAGGAAAACATTCCAGAATTCCTGGGAGGACAGTGCAAGGTAAATGTCAGCTGCTTCATATAGCATGCTCTACATTGTATTTGGTGTATCCCTTGAAACTGTATTGTGTGTATTCAACTAAATTTACAGATTATTGTGCCAGTAACAATTTACATAAAAACAACACACCTACTTAAAAAAAAACTTTCGGATCTGGTTTTTGATGTGTTGTTATTGATACATATTTTTACTGGAAACGTTAATTTTAGTGGACACCAGGTACTTAGGAATTATACTATGGATTATTCTTGAACAATTACTCTCATAAATCTCACACCAAAGGGAAGAGCCCCTACATGTGCCAAACTATTTTACTTAATCCATAAATTAAATTCATAGTATAAAATTAAAACCTTGTATTAATGTTGAATATCAACTGACTATTTATTCAAGGTTAAGAGTGTGAGTGAGTGTGAGCAATATACAATTGTAAATATAAAATAACAACACTAAGGTTAAATAGAGGTGTCAAGCTCAAACTTTTTGAGTCAAGTGGGGTCTCAGAGTAAATAGCTTTATTCAAGATTTGAAAAAAAGTTTTTAGACAAATATTTACAAGGATGTTTTAATGAAGAGAAAAAAAGTAACCCACATAAATATATAAATCCTTATATATAATACGTGAAGGTGATTTCTACAAAACACTAATCCTCCGTCAATAATGGAAGGATTTTTACAAACGATGTGTCAAATTAAGTATTTTTTTGTGTAGACACCCCCTTTCACCAATTCCTGTAATACAAGTTCTCGGGCTTTGCCCCACAGGCCATCAAAATCCCAATGCATTTCTCATAAAGAAAATTTACTAACCCAGCTGTTATGCTTCGTTCTGCTATTTAATTAAATTTGTTTATATGAAGACTAGCTGTTGTACCCGTGCTTTGCAACGGGAAGAGGACACAAAAAAGAAACATTTTTATCTTTACATCTGTTGCATATAATAAAGTTACACATCCACCAATGCTTTTAGAAACAAAATTCAACTTTTATGGCCTTAATAGAAACGTTTAAGTTATCATTTTTAAATCTGGTAAGTAGTGGATACCACCATTTTGGGCTTGATTAATTTTAAATCTTGTGTGGGCTGATATGAGAAAAACTTACCATATCTTCGAATAAAACTTTCACATACATGATTTACCTTCATCTCCCTTTGTTGCATACCTTTTTTCTTTGTTTTTGAAATTTTAAATTTCTATTTTGAAGTTGCAAAAACACTAATTTTTTAATTTAAATGAACATTTTTTAAATTTCACTCTTTTTCATATTATACAGGGTGTCCATAAAAAACGTTTCAGGACTTTGGGAAATGAATCCCCATACTAAAAGGAAGAAAAAAGTTTATGGGAAGGTATGTCCGAAAATCCATATTTACGCAGATATCCGCCATTTTGTTTTTTATACAAAAATATTTTTATCTGTGAAGTTTTTTATTCGATGATTATAAAACTTGGTAAACATGTTACCATACACAAGACCTATAATAGAAAAAATAATAAAGTTGTTCCGATTGTAAATTTCAAAATGGCGGCCGTTTGAATTTTTCTAACTTAAATAACTCGAAAACGGCTAATTCTATGAAAAAATGTCAAGAGTACTTTTTTTTAGCATTTTTAATTTCCTATCAAACGATACCAAGATCAAAAAGATCGGACAAAAGATAACTGAAATATACCGGTTTTTGTGTAAAAATAAGGCAAAGTTAGTCGGGGAACCCTTAATTTTTGCCTTATTTTTACACAAAACCGGTATATTTCAGTTATCTTTTGTCCGATCTTTTTGATCTTGGTATCGTTTGATAGGAAATTAAAAATGCTAAAAAAAAGTACTCTTGACATTTTTTCATAGAATTAGCCGTTTTCGAGTTATTTAAGTTAGAAAAATTCAAACGGCCGCCATTTTGAAATTTACAATCGGAACAACTTTATTATTTTTTCTATTATAGGTCTTGTGTATGGTAACATGTTTACCAAGTTTTATAATCATCGAATAAAAAACTTCACAGATAAAAATACTTTTGTATAAAAAACAAAATGGCGGATATCTGCGTAAATATGGATTTTCGGACATACCTTCCCATAAACTTTTTTCTTCCTTTTAGTATGGGGATTCATTTCCCAAAGTCCTGAAACGTTTTTTATGGACACCCTGTATAACAAATCCTTCCATCTTCAGTTTCTTCACTCACAATAAATCATTAGCAAAACAAAGTCAGCTGTTATAATCTTTAGAAATATTATTGTGCCTTATCAATAGTCTTTTGAAATATTAAAAAAACTATATCTGTACTATAAAAAATGTTAAACAAATAATTTTAGTATTAACGACAGCAGACAAAACTAATATGATTGTCAAAGCATCAAGGACCAAGGACAAAAAAATGTAATAGCGAATACAGTATATGTTTCATTGCATCTCTGATTCTACTCTACAAAAATATCAACAAACAACTTAATATCATACCAGTTCTTTTACTCAGTTCCATCGTCTATTGCCTTTACATTTTCACACTTACCATTAAGTAAACATGGTAACAGATATTTCATTGATTTTAGAAACAAATGAACACTGTGTACTGCTTAGTTTTATTATATTTTCCTTTCATTTAATTTAATCAGTGATGTGACAAAACACAAATAATAAATTTATCAAATAAAGTAAATGTGAACTGAAAACTATGTTAAGATAAAATAATAGTATTTAAATCAACGATATACAATTTAGTTATTGATGATATTCTTTAGTTTAATTTAAGCATTGGTATAGTAGCAAAACACAATAACTAAATTTACCTAAATATACATATAAAAAAAACAATGTGATGTGAAAGTTATGTAAAGTTAATCTAACACATGTTAAGCAGTTCGAATTTACTTAAAGTAGACTCCAAATGCATATAAAACATCTATACATTGTTATTTTCTTATTGTTTCCATGAAAAAATATCAATAACATTATTTTCATAACACTTAAGACACCTTAAAATCAAAAGTAGAGCCTGAGGTGATGCAGCAATGCGTTTAGAATATTTTGTTATTTCTATAATCATTGACATAGTTTTTGAATAAATGATCTTAGATAAGTTTTTAGATTAAATAAACCAACCATATAATTGTATGAAATATCATATTAAATTTCATTGGATCAGCTGTCTTAAAATGTGAAATATGCAATTTGGCAGTTCTTCTTGTTTACATTGAAATGTCAAAGCAAATGTAAACATTGTGAGTATTCTCATTGCAGCCATGGAGACCAATCAATATTTACTTTTAAAATCCTCACCTCAGAACCTTTAAAGCCAAAGGGGCAAAGCCCATGGTCAGTATGGAAGTGTGAATAGTCCTATAATGGTCCTTGGTATGGTAACTATATTTTTGTAAAATTTAAGCCCAGTTGGTTCAGTAGTTTTTGCACCTATTAGTAATACACATACAGACACCATTAGATTTTTATATAATAGTATAGATTTGTTTCTTGGTGCCATGTGGTCAATGAATTAGACTTTTGCTTATGTTTCAAATGCAATACACTGTATAAAGTGATGGTAATACATTAAGAAATCTGAATTTAAATAATCAATAAGTCTTATTTCTTATTTTGTTTCGTAGTTATAAGAGGTTTTATTTAGTTTAAGTCCTGACTTGAGTCAATTTGTAAAACAGTTTTGTAACTGAAATTCGCTCATGAATAAAGACCTTATTTATTTAATTATTTTAAGTACGATTAAGCTTTGCCTTTATGTTTCCTGGTAAGTGTTTTGTAACTGTTTCTTATAGTAGATTTAAGAAAACGAATTATTCTTTTCTGCATTCTCACCCCATAGCAAAGCAGGGACAGAGCAACTAGTTAAAATTATTATCTGTTAGGTTTAGTTTATTTCTTATGATTTTCTTATATAAAAAAAAATTAAATAGCCCATAAACCTGGTGTTTATTTGTGGGATGCCCACAATTTTTAAGGTATGCCTGCTTATCCTGTCCTTTGTCTACTTAAATATGAAAGTTTAGTAAGTTATATTTACAAGAGCTAGGAATCCAACAGTTGGTAACCAACTGCCCGATAATTAACATTCTTCGCTCTATTGACAAGTCATATACTTAAAACACACTATCGCATACAAATTTCACATTTCACTGATGTTGTAGTCAATTTAGGTTGCTGGTATGATTTATAATTTACAAAAGTCTTAGCTTGTAGTTGTTTACTAAAATGAAAGTGTTTTAATTCAATGTTTATAAATGTAGAAAATTTGTATATGTGTGTGAGGATGAAGTAATTGTTGAAACAGGCTGCAATGTGAATGGATTTAATATAAATGTGTTCGCCAATATATCAATCTATTACTCAGGCTTTGAAAATTAAGGATTAAGGTGAAAATTAGGGTAATCTACCATCATCTATCAGACGAGAATGAAAATATATCTTTTATTGTTGCATATATACTTATTATGTTTATTAATAAATAATGAGGACTTCACTTTAAAAAAAGAGGCCAAATAACAAAATAAGGTCATATTGGGTGGGACTCACCACAAGGCAGGGGTTGCCCAGCACACCCTATCATACAGAACCCATAACAAATAAAGATCAAATCTTGACAGCTAAAAAATAATCAACTTTACTTAATCAGTTAGTTAGTTAGTTAGTTTTGGCTCAGATAAAATTAAAAATCCTTAACAAATTTATTCTTAGTAATAATTAATCTTGAATGAAAAACTACTCTTGTGCCTACTTTTGACATTATTAGACACATTTGATGACATCATACAACGACGAGTCAATTGATGTTCATTGTGTTGTGTGTTGGTGTGGGGCATGTCAGTGTAGTCGTGTGTGTTTGTGTGCATGCTGCCAGACCTCCGTGCATGTCCCTAGTGATGTCCCAGCAGAGTTCTACCAACATTACCTTGTAAGCGAATCTCAAACATTGCATGCTTCTTGCTTTATACCTTCAGTATACCAAACGCAACAGATTGACTGTGGGCTTTTTAAAATGTGATTGTTTTAATTTTGACGGTTTTTAAAGAAAGAATTGTATTAAATTCCCAATTTTATGCTGTTATTAGCTTAGTAGCTTAATTGGGATAATTCGTTCATTATTAAAGATAGTTTTTTTTTGTTTTTTTCACTCCATGTCTATTACATTTCTGATAAAAAAATGATGTATTTTTGAAAAAGAAAACCCCTTTAAAGTGGTTTAAGACTAACCGGACGTCAAAAATTTTAACATTTATAGCTTGAATTTAAATTCTTTATTTGTTCTTTAATTGACTGAGAGACATAGCCTTGCCATATAAATTGCATCAACATACAAGTATACTTTGAGACATTGCCTTGCCAAATAAATTACTTCACCAAAATATAAGATATACACTGAGACATGGCCTTGCCATATAAATGGTTTGCATCAAGATATAAGGTACGGTAGTCTTTTTTGTGAAGTTGAGTGAGCTGTGAATTTTAAATTCAGTTTTTATAACTGAACCAAGATTAATGACTTACAATATCACAATACTGAATGAATAGTTTACAATTCATATTGTAGTTTATGTGTATGAAAATGAAAATTATAACTTCAACAATATTTATTTATTAAGTACTTGAACGTCAAACTATCCGAATCCGAACCTATAATTATCTAATCCGATCTGAACCGAGCCTTAACTATCCGATCCGAATGCGATCCGAACTGAAATTTTACTATCCGCACACCTCTAGTTTCAACTCACATTGAAGTCATCTTCAGGCTGTCAAAGATGTCTTCCCGCTTCATTCGAAGGTTGTCAATAGATAATAAATAAATAAACAAAACACAAACACCCACACGGACATAAATATGAACATTTAGTCCTAAATGATACAAATGACTGAACTGATACAAATGACAAATGACTAGAATTTTGCCCTAAATGTTTATATTTATGTCCATGTACGTGTTTGTGTTTTGTTTATTTATTTATTATCTATTGACGACCTTCGAATGAAGCGAGAAGACATCTTTGACAGCCTGACGATGACTCCAATGTGAGTTGAAACCCGTAGCAACTCAGCTACAAACAAGATCACATAAATGCAGGTATTTACACAAATTTATAGTATTTAAATGCGTCCAGGAGGCTAAAATTCTATATAATAATTAGTTGGTACGATGTGTCCCAACATACACAAAATTTTTCCAGGGAGTTTGTATGCACCTTATATGGACATACTGTATCCTGTGGTATAGACATACTGTATATGTGTCTGTGAACATACTGGGTGTCCACTAGTCACGGAAATTACAGAAGTCACAGAAAAGTCACTGATTTTACTAGAGTTCTCCCGATTTTTCTTTTGTTTTGCAACTTGATGCTTTTGCTTTTGAATTTTTATGTAGCGTTTTTCTCGAGTTCATATGTGAGGCTCAGCTTGACTCAAAAATCAAGCCGCTCTATGGATGTCCCAACATTACCTCAGTAATAATTTTAATTTTATATCTAATTCATTGCCTAAAGTATAGCTTTTAATGGGACCTAAGGTGGGATATCCCGAGAAGTTGGTTATGCCGAGGTTGGATAATATGAGGTGTTCTACTGATATTAAATATGATGTCCAAATGAATATGGTAACTTAAGCTGACTTGCTTTATCTGTAGTTCTTTTACAAAAAGCCTGTTTGGAATAAAATAATAAAACACACTAGAGTCTTTAACAACACTGTCAGGGTGGAAATTTGTTACCATGATACTGATATTCTGCTGTTGTTGCAGATTCCATTTTTTACTTCTCCTAAACTTATTATATGGAGAAAGAATTGTTTTCGTCCACAGTTTCGAGTTTAATTTTGGGGAAATTACTGTTTTGTGCCCCTCCAAACAAAATCTAAACACAGTTTTCCCATGAAAACACATAAAATAACAGAAAAATAATATGTTTTTCAAAAACTGCTTCAGCAATTTTGATTGAAAGTTAGTAGCCTATGTTATAACTTATTGTTACAATTATTAATATGATGTCCGGGTTATCTAAGGACTATAGTCCTTATCATTCTTTTTAATTTTGGCATACCACCATTTTGTTAAGGCAATGTAGAAATAAAGTTTCAAAAGTGAATGCAATTTTTGTGATTTACCCCCTCTGTTTAACCGTGATGATTTAATGTCAAGCTAATGGTAGAAAGTATGTGTCAGTTTAATGATGCTGATTATCAGATCAGTGGTAGAACATTACAGCTTGTAGTGTACCCAGTAGTGGTGCCCCATTACTGCTTGAAGATGGCCTTCTATGCTATGGTTGAATTATCAGCACAACACCAGCTTAGTGACACAGTTCTACCCTTTACACAACAATATTTTTGTTGGACTTTGGAAGTCTTATTTCTAAAGTTTGTCTTGAATAACGCTGGTTGTGTTGACTCTGATTGACAGACAAAGGTGATGGAGGGAGGGTTGGTGCCTAAGAATCTCTACTTGACGGAGGGGGAGCTAGAGAAGGAGGGAGGTCACATGACGGATGACACAATCTACAGCTCCGTCAGCCTGGGCAAGGGACAGGTACACTATGTCACACTCTCATCATTCACATGTGCGATATTATGTTAAGCATGTTTCAAAGTACAAATTTTTCCCATCTAAACAGATTGTAGTTGATTTTTGTTTGTAAAAAAAAATATCCATGACTTTGTATCTGTTACAAGACAATACTGCTGTGTTTTTAAATGTTGAAGCTGTTTCTATGCTCTTACAACTATAGGAATATTTTTTGGTCAGAATTATGTGTGATTTTTTTATTTCACCAGGAAAGCCTGATTTTAGTGCAATTATGTTGTAATTTAGATCTCAGATGTATCTAGAAAGGTTTAACATCCACCGACGTACTGTATCTCCTTGCTATGAACCCTCATAAAACTTTGTTAGCACATGAAAAACCTGACTTCTAAAACATCGTCTGCGGTCATGGTAAAATCGAAAAATCTTGTGCATTCATGGTATAATCATGAACATATTCAACAGTCACGTGGAAATCGTGAACATCTTCCACGTCCATGGCAAAATGGTAAACATCATCTGCGTCTACCGCCAAAGTGAGGACGTCTTCTTTGATCACAGCAAAATCAAGACCATCTTCTGTGGCCATGGCAAACTTGTGAAACTCTTCCTTGGTTACGGCAAAAGCGGGAACATCTTCTGTTGTCATGTTTAAATCCAGAACGCTTTCCGTTGTCACAGCCAAATTAAGTTCCCATGATCACGGGAAAACCGTGAACACCACCTGCAATCGTGATTAAATCTAAACTTTTGACTGCGTATCTTCAAAAATGCTTTTTGTGATCGTGGAAATTGGAAATATACGCTTATTTTAGGTCGATTCGATTCAACCCTAAACCTTAACCTCAACTCTATTTCGCCCTGAATCGATTCCTGGGGCCATTAGTTGGTCCGATCTGACCCACACATTTCAGGGACCCATAGACCCCTTGTAAAAAGCTACACCTGGTGACCGAAAAAACAAACTGGAAATATATGTGAATTTTTATCCAAGAGATCTGTGGCTACCCAGAATTACCACAAATTTTACCTTCATGATAAGTAAAAAGGTGTTTTGACACTTGAGTGTTAAAACTACAACCTTGTATATGAGTAATGAAGACACTTAATCGTCATTACATGATTCTTTCAGTCTTTACTGTGAAGTATTTTGTTGGAATAAAAACAACAACAAAAACTGATAAAGTAAAGCCCTAGAACTGTTGGAACAAGTTAAAAAAAGAAACACAAATCGACAAATCTAGTTTTAAACTATAGGTAGCCTAGTAAAATCAAATTCAAGCAGGCCCAGTAATAAAACATGAAACAGATCAATTTATGCATCAAAAGTTTGTAGGTACATGAAAGAATTACTCATGGACCTATGACTATATCAAACAAAAAATCTGTAACCTTTACGGAGAGTGGCACCATTTATTTAACCTTGTTCGTCTTTAACTAACATAACATTGACATACCCAAATTATTGATTATTTATGAGTGTGATGTGTTTATGGTTGTCAGGTACACGAGGTGTTGGTCTGTGTAGAGGACCCTGGCTGTGTCATTACTTGGGACTTTGATGTGATGAGACAAGACGTCACCTTCAGTGTGTTGCGGACTGAGAAACCTCTACCCAAGGATCTTAGCCCAGGCAGTCAAGGTAAGATAAGTGACACCAATAATCGGTAACCTGTGAACTGTGATTGGGTTATTAGTAACCCTGGCAACTTATTGAATGGGTGGATGAAGAGAATAGAAGAACAAAGAGAACGAATAAGCACTGTTTTTATGTCATTGTTATCTTTATCGCTGTATTTTACGACTGTTGTTATCATCTTTTAGTAGGCTTCTATTATTTTATACTTTGTTTATGCGTTATTTAATGTTTTTATCGACATTCTTCTGCCCTGAAATAGTGTAGCAGTAGCCTATGACTAGCAGCAGCTTACTGGACTTTCTATGGTTCTGTTTTTCATTTTGCTTTTACAATGTTTGGCAATTTGTTTGTTTGAGTAAAAGTTTGAGAAAGTTCTGATTTTAAAAGTTATAGTTATTACTTAACCAAGGTTAATTAATGACTTAACATAATTAAAATTAGCCTATCATGATTGCGCAATAGCCTACAATTTGTATTTTTATGATTTAATATGTAAATTATCACATTAATGTCTATTTGTATTAGGTGTTGTTTAGGAATTACTGTTTTATTTCATGTTGGATTTACCGTGGTGTGTTAAAAATATAGTTTTACTATGTTTTAATGTCAATAAACGCGTTCCTCTGATATTCCGACCTTTTTGCTGTTCCGACCATGCTCCCGTTCGCGTACGTGACGGATTAGCAAAGTTCTACTGTTCATAAGTTTCAGCAGTAAAGTAGAGCTCTCACCATTTTCAGGCTACGAAAGTATCCCCTTCTCAAGGGGTCATCAAATTAAGTAATACAGTTTACAGATAACAAATAAAACAAACATAAATGTAACTGATAGGCTTATTATTTTATTTGAGGCTCATTATTTCATTTGTGATATCTTTGTTTGTGATCCATTTTTGGCATCATCGACAATGGACCACTCTATCAGTCTTAGGCTAGTTGAAACTTAGTGTCAGGTATATAAATCCTGCTCAAATAAATTTATAAAACAGCAAAATCTTTCTGCTACCAAGTCAAACAAGGTATTTCTCTTTTCTGTAATTACAGTTTTCAACCTCTGCAAGATTTCCCTAACCCAGAGTCAACACCTAGCTATTGTTTCTTACGGAAATATGAAAAATCCAGTTTCTAACCTATGCCACGATTTTCCTATCAAAAATTCAAAACACTCATTGTTAGTTACTTCCATACCAGTTTCTATGCCTTGTAAGGGTTTCAAACTCAAACTCAAACCTCTAAATCAGGGGTCTCCAACGTATGGAGCTGAGAAGAAATCATTATTATACAGGGTGGTCTTGACCTAGTGTTAGTTTTTTTTGGGTGGTACACCAATCCGAACCCGACTCAAATACACAATTAAAAAAATTCTAAATCACACACTTACTGAAAGAAAAACTATTTTGATTATTTAAAATGACTAAATTATTAATTTAGGTTTAAAGAGAAAGGGCTACATTTCTTAAGGTAGGCCACCATTATGGATATCACTCATCACTCTCACAATTAATTCACAGCTAGTTTATTTCAGTTTATTAAACTTTAAACAATACCAATTTAGTTTTAAACAGTACGAGGTGTTAGCCCGTCCTACGTATGGGAATTCAGTAGTCAGTTAAAACCGTGTACAATTTATTCAGATCAGCTAGTTTAAAAAAGCCAAAGTTTCTTGCAGTTTTAATGTGAAAAATCATCTTTAAACAAATGTTGTGCGACCAAATATGTTTTTATGCATTTTAAATCCGATAATTTTACAATAAAACAGCAATTCTGCAATTTTTACGATGTAAAAAGCGTTGAAGTGAGATTTGCAGCCGATTCGCACAGACGCACACTGATTATAAGTAGCATACAGTAGAGAGAGTAATAGCTTTGACTATTAATACAACACTTCTTTATCTTATACAACTTCTGTACCCAATAGTCAAAGGTAATAGTCAATTGAGAAGTGTATAGACCTAGTCAACGATACTACCTTCCATAGCATACCTGCATCTTCCATAATTATTATCACCACAATACAACTAACTTACTATACACAATTTCCAGTAGGTCTGAATAGATACGACCTAAAATAAAACTATAATATCCAATAAAATTCACAGTACACATAATTTAACTTTGGTGTCCTAACATCAAAACTAATCGTCACACCTATCCTTTATATCAATTTCACTGCATTAATTACTAAATAAATAAGTCTAAACAAAGAAAAATAAAAACAATAACAATTTGTTTTGAAACAGCTGTTTGGTTCAAATAACATTCATTTGAAAAAAAGAACTGGTCACATGTACGGTGGGGCACACGGAAGATTTCTCAGGTGCCGTTTGACGTCACTAACTGATGACGTCACTAACTGCTGCGTCTGAAGAAACAGACAATTTTATAATTTTCTATTATTAAATTAAACTGTCATAACCTAACCAAACTAACCAAACGTGCTGATAATGGAAAAATCGATTAAAGGTTTACTAATCTAAAAAATAGTTTTGTTCATAAAATAAAATTATAATTGCCTAAAATTCAATTTTATAATTTTTTAATTATAAAATTAAACTGTCATAACCTAACCAAACCAACCAAACTTGCTGATATGGAAAAATGGTTGATAAAAAGTTAGTGCCGCCGGCGGGATTCGAACCCGGATCATTAGGATTATCAGCCCGCAACGCTATCCACTGCACCACCAAGGCCGATGGCTTAAGCCGTATCGTTGCGGTATTGGTGTTCCCTCAAAGTGACGTCAGCAGTTAGTGACGTCAAACGGAACCTGAGAAATCTTCCGTGTGCCGTTTCGGTCACATGTAGCAGGAATATAAAAAGTAAACACGCTAGTAAAGCTAATGACGTAATTGTCAATGTTTATTATCCATACCGTTAGCAGTTCTATCCTTGATAATTACCCACCCTCATTGAATAAATGTACATCGTAATTTCCCATATTAGTTAATTTAAACAACAATATATTCATAGTTTAAATAAAAGTGATATTTTCACGTTTGGAGGCGCTGATATAGGCGGGCCCAAACGTAACCACAACTGAACACGATTTCATAAAACATGTGAACATTGTTATTTTTCTATTCTTTCCTTGAAAAGTGGAGCGGTAAAATAATTTGCATCTATCCTTTTTTATTAAGACTCGTGTACAGAGCCTCGATTTGTACTGTGGTTTAATTAATTTTGGTCCAAACTATTTTAAACTGTGGTCTAATTATTTCTACTAATCTGACTTATTTCCTATAATCAATGACAAAATAAGAGTAAATAAAATAACCTCATAGTTCCATAGTTTATATTTAACCAGCTGTTAGTTAAAACAAATTATATGACTCTAAAACAAATCAAAGATTACAAAGATTGCTTTAAAAAATATTTTGAACATCATAGTATTTTACTATGTATATTTAATTAATCTGTCATCCTCTTACAGAAGAATTGATCGTATCAATGATAGCATTACACATAGTATAAATAAGTCAACGCTAAGTATGTCTTTATATTTTTATCCAAATGCTGAATTTGTGACACAAAAGCTGAATGTTTACAGCTGTTATGTTAAGCAAATTATTTTATGCCGAAAGCTAGTTTAGAATCTTAGCGTCGGCTGCTAGACTTTTCAAAAATTAAAACTTAATTTCTAAAAAACTGGGACCCAAAACTATAATTATGGCTTCGACATTCCCTAGTTCTCAAAATTATCTTTCTTTCAACACAAAAATCATGTAAATCCATCGAGTGGTTGATTCAGAATCGTGAAATAAAAAAACACTGTTTCGTTTTAATATTATAGATGATTTAAATTGGACTAGTTAACCGCCCGTGCTCCGCCACGGGAATATTGTCAGCAACAAAAGAAATAATAATTAACAAATAGGCCTAGTGTTTATCTTTGTATTTTATTTAGGGGTTGTTTAATTTTTTACATGAAATAGAGCTGATAGTTTGCCTGTATAAACTATTTTATGTTAATCAAACCGATATATTATTTTAACCAAATGAATGTTTTATATTAATTCGAGTTTCATTTGAAAAATAAATAGTATACGAACTGGGCAAGGCTGATAACCTAATAAGCAGCTATTTATGATATTTAGTTAATTTGCTCAAGTATATTCCTATATTCGTCGTTTTTTTGTCATTACATTTGTATGGAATAATGATAGCCTACATGTAAATCACGCATCAGCAGTTGGTCGCATTTCATGAATCTTTGACACATACTGTGAGTAAAAGCTGTTTTTACGTCGTATATATGAAGTTGGGCATACTTTGTTCAATGTTAGAGGGTATTAACGGTCCAATTTGATGGAAAAGGAGTCGTGGATTTTAAAACTATGTAGACTACCACTACCAGAAAGATGTTGATTCAAGTGAGACTTAGAACTCTTTTGACCCTTAATACTTTTTTTATAGTCGCTGTTGATAAGATTTTCCATAAACTCAAAATGTTGATAAGGAGTTCATTTTACCTTCCCCTTGTGACAACATAAGGAAAAAATATTTGTGTCCCTGTTAGTCTGTTCTGACTCAAAATTCATAGATTTGCAGTACTGACAAATCCAATCTAACGACCCCAATTAAAAAAAAAAATGTATTTTTTAGAAGGGACTTCCAGAGCACATTTAACACCATCACTGCTCTTTACCTTTTTAGTTCGATGGTTCTCTACATGTTTTTTTTTTCTGTATGTCTCTTTACGCCCGGTTAATGATTACCTTTTCTTTTTCTTTTTTTATCCTGGGGTTAATGATAAAGTTTTATAACACTATAATGACCCGAGTCAACATTGCCATTAAACATCAAGTCAGATACTTCTTCGCCAGAACCGAAATCGTAAGTCACAGTTTCTCAAGCAACTTCCCTGTGTAGGCCTACTCGAAAAATAAAGTTAGGGTATACTTCACTGATAAATTGTAGTTCCAAATATCCCAGCGTACTCGCCATCTCGAGAAGGTAAAATTTGGACGTCGAACACTGATCTTGAGTAAGATTAATCACTTACGATAAAATGTTTGTATGTTTACCAATCATTACAATTATATGTACAACTTGCAAGCGGATTTCCCTATGATTGTTCTGGTGGCTATAGGCTAGAGAATAAATTATATTGATCAAAACAATAAGTTTCCGTCCACTACTATGGGTATTATTTCACATTCCCTACTCAAACTTAAACTCAATTACTACTTTCCTTCAGATCACTTTGCAGGAAAACTAAAACATTTTTGTGTCCCAGTTAGTCTGATCTGACTCGAAATTCATAGATTTGAAGTAGTGACAAATCCAATCTAACGACCCCAATTCAAAAGATTTGGTATTTTTTTGTAGGGACTTCCAGAGCACATTTAACACCAACACTGCTCGTTACCTTTTTAGTTCAATGGTTCTCTTCCTTTTTTTCTTTCGGTATGTCTCTTTACGCCCGGTTAATGATTACCTTTTCTTTTTCTTTTTGTACTTTTCACACCCTGGGGTTAATGATAAAGTTTTATAACGCTATAATGACCCGAGTCAACATTGCCATTAAACATCAAGTCACATACTCCTTCGCCAGAACCGAATGGTAAGTCACAGTTTCTCAAGCAACTTCCCTGTGTACTTGAAAAGAAATTCACTGATATATTGTAGTTCCACGTATCCCAGCGTACTTGCCATCTCGAGAAGGTAAAGTTTGGTACCACTGAACGTCTAACACTGATCTTGAGTAAGATTCGTCACCTACTATAAAATGTTTGTATGTTTCCCACTCATTAGCAATTATATGTACAACTTGCAAGCGGATTTCCCTATGATTATTCTGGTGGCCGTAGAGAATAAATTATATTGATCAAAACAATAAGTTTCCGTTCCCTACTATGGGCAATTTTCACATTCCATACTCCAACTTAAACTCAATTACCACTTTCCTTCAGATCACTTTACAGGAAAACTAAAACATTTCAAAAATAAGTTAACAAATAAACTTTCCTTGATCAAAATCGTGTGTTAATAAAAAGAAACTCCAAGTTTAATAATTGCATACTGAAAGTGAGGTTATAAAAATAATAACAAATGTCTGACAAACATTAAACAGCTGACGAATAATTTATAAACTGTGTATTATATTCTTCAATAAGAATTGTATTGACTCGACCTTTAAAGGGCTGTAGGTCGTAGCCCTTAGAAAAAACGTAAATTCTAAGGAAGTTCGGCAAATCTACACACTATCCCCTTTAATTTGAGACATAAATCTTGTAGATCGGTCCAGTAATTACTGAGAAAACAGTGTTACAACTGTGTATTAAATATATAGATTTCTGTAAATATTATATATTTTTTTAACAACCTACCCTTATGACAGTACCTATCTGGATCTGGATGCAAATTTTTCAAGATCCGGATCTAGTACCTACATTTTCTTGGATCCGCCTATCACTATTTCTTTGCAAGATTTTTAAAACGCCAAACATTACTTCTATTTCTAGACAACAACGTATTGATGAGAGGTTATTGTCTGACAGTGTTTGTGTTGCAGATGGAGAGACCCGGTCAGTAATAGACAAGTCGTGGGTGGAGGGAGAGGATTGGTCACGTGTGGAGCCGCTAGTCACGTGTCATGATGGAGAGAGTATCCAAGGATCACACGTAACTGCAGGCAAAGGCACGTACGTGCTGCAGTGGCAGTGGCGATGTAACGGAGACAGCACTGCAACACACAGAGCACGAGTCATGTACTTCCACGAGGTGCTGAGCAGCGCTGACTACAGGTACATTGTCACTGTGATCACGCCATAAAAGGGATAGATGCTAACTTGCTTTTAGAGATACTTATTTAAATAAATTTGTTCCCAGAAAACTTTTTGGAAAGGCCTTTAGAGTAATTAGGTACTGTGAGGGAGAGCATGATTATCTAGGGTGAAGATTTTTTTATACTGTTCTCAGTTCTGTACTGTAAGCCTGCTAATTCAATTATAAGCTATTTTTTCAATTATTTGTTCCAGACAAAAATTAACTTAATAGTAAAAAACCACCCTTTAGACCACTTATAAAAACTGGGTCTAGATATTCTTGGCCATTAGGCTAAAATTGATCTCATACTCATCTTCAATTTTTCCTTCAATCAAGCAACTTGGCATGTTAGCAGTTAGCACTAATCCTGGCTAAAAAAATACTCAAAGTTTTCAAAGAAATAAATCACTTTTTAGCTTGTTTGTATCGACTACAAGTCAGTGAATATTTTTTGCAAAAATAATTAAAATAGTACTTAAACTCCCTAAGCAAACTTTCGGTTTTTGCTAATGTTCATTTAACTTCTTGCTACAAAACATCTTAACACTTTTCAGAACTGGACATAGCTGTTCTTGATCGCTAGGATATACAGTTTGCTCTTTCTTGATAATCCGACATTAACTAGTCCGACATGCTCGGTAGTCCGACGCACCATCGGGTGCCGGTGTTGTATTGTAGTATAGAACTGTACTTAACAAGTGTTTCACGTTGCGACAGGAAGAGGACTGTCTGCTTCTGGCTGTCACAAGTAGGCCTATGCTAGTAGCCTCAGTCACCACCTTTTCCCAAAGGCATTTAGTGAAAATACATGCGAGTAACAATTAGCTGCTATACTATATACAGTAGAACACCATTTATCCGGGGTAATGGAGGGAGGGAGTCCAGATTACTGAAAACAACCGTTAACCCAACATGACATAAACATACATATTACAAACCCATAAATAACGCCCAATACTGTATAAACGGACGTTAACGTGGCATCATCAAAATACAATTAACAGGCTATTGTGTAGTCGTGATATGGTAAGGCATAACCTTTGTTCAGAAATAAAAACTGTAATATTTCAAATCACAGCTTAATCAAACTTTTACTTAAGAAAAAATACCCCCGCCGCAGCAAACCTGCAGACTAAGTGAATTTCAACTTGCCTGATTACATTTTTACTCAAATATTTAAAATAATTATGACATATTTATTCATAATTTTTTGTTTTTAGGGTCAAAAATTGGAAAAACCCATTTTTACCCCATAAAACCCCCCATAAACTCCCGTTCCCATGGTCCGATTATGCTGGTTCGCGAACTCGTTCGAATAAACGTAGGTTTACACATTTGTACCAAATTTCATCAAAATCGGATCATTTTTGCTCGAGTTATCGCGCTAACGGACACATATATATATATATATATATGAATTTGAACGGATGGTGTTTTTGGCCTCTAGGGACCTCAAAACGAAAAAAGTAAATCGGTCCCGGGTCCAGGTCTTACCATGAGTACTACGGTAATAGCTTATTCCCTACATGGGAAATTCGCTTAAAATGACAAAACTTGTTCAGCAATAAATCACGTAAAGAACAGAATAATAACAAGCCTATTGCTATTCAAAGGCTACTGCTACATGCTTTTTTCAGTACTGAAGAATGTTGATAAAAACATTAGATAACTCATAAAAAAGTATAAGATCATGGTGCCGTACTTTAAGATAATAACAACAGTCGTAAAATGACATAAAGATAACAATTACATAAAAAAATCGCTTATGCTTGTGTAGTGTCAATTGAATTGTATTTGCCAGTTTTATAATTAAAATAGACATAGTTGAATTGAGTTACTGAAAGTGTACTGATGTAAATTACCATCAGATGAAGAACCAAGTCAAGCTAAAGCCACGGCATCTTTTATGTCACATCTACTATCTCAGTAACAACAACTAAGAAAGTCAGGTTAGGAAACACAAAGGACCATTCTTGTTAAATAGCTCATTCAATTATGTTATTTCAGAGGGTCAATGTCGAGCCTCCAGTCTGGCAACAGCCTCAGCAACTCTTGTCCGTCCAGATGATGGTTCCAGGACGCAGAGCCGTCCGCCTGAACAGATAGATAAATTATTTATGTGTATATATATTTTACTAATAAGAAAGAGAAGGCTCAAGCGTACGCGTCATCGAATGTTCTAAATATAACGTCCTCGAAGGATTAATGTTGAATTTTGGTGTTGAAATTTTATATGTCGTAGTTCAAAGTTATTTAATGTTAGGATTCAATCAAACGTAGTGTAGGAAATATGCAGTGTGAACATGTTTGTTTTATAGATTTCCCAGTTTGTACAATATATTACTGCTTGGTTGGTTTGAGAAATTTTAAAGTACAACTATATGAAGAAATCAAATAGATGGCTTTTTATATCAATGTATGTACAGTATTTTTTATTGTTTTAATGAGATTAATTATGGTGTCCAAATGAGGTGAGTAAAATGGTATGAGCTGTGTGCAAACTGCAAACTTTTATACTAGTTGAATTTTAATTATTTGGAGGTGAGCTTTTTACATATATTAAATTTTATAATAACATTCTTATATACAGAATCTATATTGGTTTATTTTTAGCTTTTTATAAACAAAATATTAGCTGTAGGTTTGCATAATACACTTTAGTGGAAAATATGTGATTTGTAAAACAATTTCTGACATTAGTTGAGACACATTAATTTTCAACTGTAAAAATTTCTATAGTAACATAAACATTTCAAAGGGTCACTTCTATAAAACTCAACACATACTATCCATACTATTTTTTAAGTTTATTCTGTCAGATAACTAAATAACTTTCTAAAGTTGAACAATAGATGCACAGTCACTTAAATACATGACAGTTATACGGGGCCTAACTACTATGGGGGTTTTGCATCAACCCCAGTTTTAAGAAGGTGTTATTATACTTAAATAAAATCTTCTATTTTGACAACACGGTAGAGCCTAAATAGGTGATAACAAATTTCATTCTGCAATCATTGTTTTCCTGGTAATAATAATTCTACTATTGGATTTAATAAAAATTATCATACACACATGTATATTTTCACATAACAATTGCAAAAATAAATGAGTGGGGTTAATCTCCCTGCATTTTTCTTCCAGAGTTAACCATTGGTTGTGATATATTGCAGCAACATCTTATATACTTATACTATTCAGGTATTGTGGTAATACTGTATCTATCAGTGTGATGTGCTTATGAAGTGGATCAAATGTTGCTGATGTTTAACCATTGTGCAGTTGGAATAAATAGTTAGTGTTCTGGATGCGTCATAAGAAACACTTGCTTTTGATTTTGGTTGAGTGAGCCATCCTGTGTAATTGGTGGAACAACCTACTTCGTCGCACCACACAAGTCAGATGTTTTTATAAGTTACTAAAAACTCTTCCTGTCATACCATGCTTAATTCGACTGGCGGATAGACTTTTTTCAACTGCACCTTCAAACTTTAAACATCTATTTACTCTTAATTTGTCATAAAAAATATTCCTGCAATTCATTCATTTAATGCTGTGCAGTTTTCGAGATCTGAAGGTTAAACCTAAATTACTAATCTTGAGTTTTTTTATATTATTATTTCAATTCGAGTAATTTTAAGGTAGTATAAAAACATAGAAAACCCTGTGTAACACTACCAAAACACAACTTGCATATTTTAAAGCCAGAAGCTTAATTAAGTATCTTACAGTAATGCCATTTTTTTATTCTCTGAAAAGTTTTAATTAGGCTAACTCCATCTTAATTCAATAATCAATCAAATCAGCTTAACATTGTAGAAAGACTATCAGTAAAAACTCCCTAGCATTTAAAATAAGTATGAATGTATCAAACTCAAATTTAAAAAAGAAATATTTTTTAACCATTGTAATTTTTTTCGTATAAACATACTTTCAGCAACATTTGTCCCTACGTTTGAATTAATAAAGTTGAATAGTAGTATATACATGTCTGCCCGTATGTTAAATAATACTGTAAGTAATATATTTTTTTAAGTTTTTATCAAAACATTGATTTTAGATCTTGTACATATTTATAGTTATTTTACATGATTTCAAAGATTTTATAATTATTTTAGCTTTTGTGATATTTTAAAAGTTTTATCCATAGCTTTATTTTTGTTTGCCAGCCTTTTTATTAGTGCTTAGTGTTAAGAGATTAGTAAATAGTTCTATTTTTATTTTTAAGAAGCAAATGAAGAAGTTTTGTTTGTTTGTATAGGACATGTAATTATTACTGATCCAACTCATTATTGAGAGAACTGAGCATACATTTGTCAATGGAGAGAGATGCATTTTTTGCCCAATAATTATCATCACATATTTGAAATTACACTTCTTCCTCTTACTTTAATTTAAACATGTTATATACACAATTTTGTTTAAACTAATCCTCATTCATAAAAGTTTTTGTAAAAAAGGTTAACAAATTAATAAAAATACTCTATTGACATGTTTTTTACTACCTGATCATTGAAAATCATAAAACAAAACATCTCATTTTGTCTTTAATTCAATCAAAATGTTTACTATGGTGGATTTTAGTTTGTCAATGAAGAATGCATAGGTACATTTGCTGAATTGTGAAATATGTTCATTAATTATTATGGTAATGATTCCATTGCAATATATATTAATTACTAATCCTTATACTTTACTGTTTTTCAAGGTGAAATGTTCTAATATTAACAATATAATACACTTGACTATGGATGTCAATGATAATATAATATCTAAGCAAAATCTACAATAGCAAGTCCAAATGGACACAGGTAGTGTTGTTCTTCATAAGCTTCATCGTAACAGGGTAGATTATAGTTACTCTATTAAACTTTGATATTTTTTGTTTGTGCAGCATCACTTAGAACTGTGAATAAAGTATGTATTATATACATATCTCTTTGTTCCTCATTCTTCCTTAGCTAAGGGTATTGCCTGTAATATCCCTTTTGCATCCTTCCTACTTAACCGGTTCTTACAATTTTTGTGCTGCTGATTGCCATCAAAGTATAGTTAGGTTATAAATAAGAGACAAAAGAATTTATGAAAATGAATTTTAAATAGGCTACTTTATTGCTATAGTTGTAGCTTAATTGAGGTAGGTAAATCACTCTTTTTAGTATACACCTACAATTCACATTTGTTATGTCTTTTAAAATAGTAGTGTTTTTGATATAATAATAATTGTCTTGAACCCTCTCTCATACTATTTTTATGTGAGATCGAGATGATGTTATTTTGTCAGCTTCGAAAACAATAAAGACTAAAAAGTATATCATTGAATAATAAATTAATGTATGCATTATTCGTCGCGCCTTGGGGACGATTTATGAACTGTATTAATTAAAATGTTCCGATTCACACAAAAACAAAACCTCCCCTTGTAAATCTATCTTTGTCTTTCTCTTTATACTTATAAAAGGCAAATAAATCACTGACTCACACATAGATAACTCAAAAAATACAAACTGTAACAATTTAGAAATAGGCATGAAGGTCACCAAAGTTCTAATAGATGTGCAATAAGAAGTGATTTTAAGAAATTCCGTTAGGGCTCTGCCCCAGTGCTTTTAAAGTTCCCATGTTATTCTAATGGAAAAAAAGTTAACAATTAAACAGATGAATAAGTTTGTTTACATTCACACTTAATATTTACTGAATTATAGCTAAATAGACCAAATTAATATTTAAATTATGTTAAGTGGATTAAAAAAAAGGGTTAATGTATAATACGTTTGTTCTTAACTAACTTTAAGCCCGTTATATAAGGGTGGAGATCTTGTGGTCAGATAAAACCTGATTTCATTCAGAACGGCAGTGATTATGCTGTTAAAAATTATAGTAATGCATTAGGTCACAAAAGTGACCCGATCTGGGTTTTGAATGATTGTTTCGTACGTAAAATGGTCCAAAATAATTTTTTAAAAGACAATTAGTGTGAAACACACAGGTTTAATACAAACTTGTATGCAAAAAATGTGTAGCCCTAACAATTCAGTGATGGTCTGCCTGAAAAATCGTCTACAACTCAGACAGAATAAATGAACAGTATAATGGTACATTCATAGTAATTATTGGGAAATATAGTTTAAGTTAAAATCAAACACTCAGGAAAATAGTTAAATTTAGTATGAGTGTAAAGAAAGGTGTGATACCAACGATCACCAAGCTGTAATTAGTGATGTGTCGGCACGGGTACATAACAGTAATTCTCATTCCCTGGCCTATGTCACCTCAAGGTTCATTCCCCTCACAGACGAAATACGAAAAACTGATGTTAGTTTGTGTAGTGTGTGGTTAGCAAATCAGTTGTGTAGTGGAGCTCCCAATGCATGGGAACAGTGTTTACACTCTGCTTTTTCCAAACTGTAAAGCATATATTGATTAGTGACCCTTATTTTTTCTACGACAATGGTGAGCATACCCACCCAGAACAATTTTGGCTCAAACCAAAGGTTAACAGAGATCACTGGGTCCACCCATTCATAAAACATCAACCATTTTTATGTTTCAATCTTTTTACAAGCGCATGCGAAACCATAGTTAGGAGTTTTAGGGTTGTTACAGTAGGGTGGATACGGATGGGGGAATTATCTCCCCCTGGAACATATATTAGGTAAAAAATAAAAATCCTTAAATATTAATATCGCTAAAAGCATAAAAATGCAGTTTACATAAATTTTAGGTGATTAGGTTCGAGCAGCCACCAAAGAACTTGAGGAACGTTCTGATATTTGGATTGTTTCCATTGTTAGGCTCCTTTGTTCGCAACTCTGGATTTACCGTCCAATGTACCCTTCTAAATATTGGTTTGTGTATGGTAAAATACACGAGGTTTGGATTCTTATTGCATTAGACGACTAGAAGAGAAGATACATAATCCTTAATCTATCTATACTTATTTAATACGCAAGCAGGTTTTTTGTGACAATTACTCCTCCGAAACTACTGAACCGATTGACATGTTTTTAGTGTCATTGGAAAGAGCAAGAGTGTAACGTGAAGTTGTGCAGGAAATTTTCTTTTTAGGGAAATAATTAGAGAATGAGGCCCTGGGTCCCTTTAAAGTGTCTTATTCTCCATAAGATTAACATAGGAAACAAACATTCTTATGAAACTCCAGCTGTTATCAGAAATCAAAAGTGAGAAGAAGAACATATGTTAATTGTAAACAGTCAATAAGTTTGCTAATTTCACAGTTTGCTACAAACATCAATGGACTTGGTTGAAATGAAATATTTCCTTTTTGAATTTGGTTTGGCGTAAATATTACAATGGAAACTGGATAATTTGATATACTAAAAAGAAAACTGAATTTACACTGTGTTGCTATCTTTGAGAGAGCCCATTTGCAAACTATGGAAACATAGGAAAGTCATAGAACACTACCAAGGAAAAGAAATAGAAATAATGGTTTTTTTTTTATAATTTATAATCGTTATTATGGACATCTTAATTCGACTATGAGTAAGGCTATTTGTAGAAAACACTAAAAAGGTTTTGAAAAATGATAAGATATTTAATTTGATTATATCGATCTATTATCTACATCTTGAGTATTTCCATAATCTTTGAGTGAAATCTTTTAAAGTCATCAGAAATTATGACTGTTATTCGTTTCAAAATAACGCCTGTAATACTTAGCAATTGCTCAAATTCGAGCAACAGGTACACTAGTAATTGTTAAATCTCACTATTATTTTGTAGATGAATATATCTGTATTTTAACTGCCTATTTTCAATATTTTATCAAAACTGAAAAAGATATAGCCTACATGAAAACAGTGCATGAACTGGGTGACGCGAAAATAGTGAGAATTGAGGTATTCTTGTCCAGTTAAAGCTATGGTTCCACAGACTGCAGACTTTCTGCCGTGCAGTGTAAGACGTTACCCAGCTCATATTGGGCGAGACTTGATTTTTAATCATACTCAACTATTGTGAAACAGTCATTTTGAGGATCTAAAATAGCCTTTAATTTGACAATACAGTATTACTGAGGAGCTGTTCCTTCTGGAGTTGATACTTTGTACAAGATTAGAATGTTTAAGATCAAATGTGAATAGTGTATGCATTCTTGATGTATGTTGTATGAACTGCAACTGAATCGTAATTACAGTATTTAAGAGTATTATTCTTTTTGGAATTTCTAACAATTAGAAAACATACTTAGGAGGATATGAAATAATGAATACTGGAAAGAAAACGTACAGTAATATTTGGATTCTTTTATTCACTGAAAAATTCACAAATTATTTACATATTATAAATCTCTAAATATAAATTTATTTGGCAACATCCAACACCGTTGATATTTACATACCTACAGTTTGATCAACTATTTTCCAGATACATTTGATGTATTTAAAAACAGGATGGCTACTGGTGATATCGATATTAAAGTTTAAAGTACTGTAGTAATAATAGCAAACATATATACTACACCACTAATTATAACTATTATAGAAAAATTTAAAAACAAATTATATAAGAAGTTCAAAATTTCTCCTGAATTAAATTATCAACATTTTTTAAATACTTATTCATTAACTTTTTGAAAGTAATAAAAAGCCACTTATGATTTTCAAACCTAAAATGAATTTGATAGCATATACAAGGCCAGTCTACAATATTTTAACAATATTATGATTCTAGAAAATAAAGTTGTATTATTATTTGAGTATTAACTAAAGAGCTTAGCTTACATTGTAACAACCTTTTGGGTGATAATTTTTCCATCATCTTATCTTTCTTCCGTAAAACATTGCATACACAAGTTAACACACAAGTCACAATTAAGTCCGTAGTAGATTTTTTTATACAACAACAAATGACAATTTTACTGACTGAATGATACCTTTGAGGGATTGTCCAATAATATTTTATATAAGTTAAAGGCATTATATTTCTGAAAACAATACTGCAATCTGGACTGCATGGAATAGTTATGGCTGATAAAATGTTCAAACTCAAATTTTTGTACACAAAATTAACAAACCAATTGAGGACACTACAATGGGCATTTAGTTATTAATTGCACTGAAGATTTCACCCATATAGATATGAACTTTGAGGTTTTCCTCTGTTGTAGTTCAAAAACGAAACAAAGAGGTTTGCAATACCAATAAATAAATCTCTGTAGTAAATTAAGTTAAGGTTAGCTTTAACATTTTCCTTTTATGAGAAAACCAACCAAATATGTCTTAAACGTAACATCAGCACTATTTATCCTTTTTAGTGAAAGATTTTACCTTTTAGCTGTAAAAACTAAGTAAGAACAAAAACCCTATAACGCAATACATAAAAATCAAACTCTTAATAAATATTGAAAAACTAATCAAAAACTTGATTAATTGAAGATTTTTAGCTCCATTTTTTCAATTACTTGGCACATGGTAAAAGAAGGAACCATCTTTGTGTAATGCACCTTTATGAAGACTAGAAATTAAAAATAGCAACCAAAATAATCAGTAGAAACTAGAAAGCCTAAAATCTAAAAATGTAAACAGTTGTTTAAGATACATTTTAGCGAATTTCCCATATAGGGAATAAGCTATTACCGTAGTACTCATGGTAAGACCTGGACGCGGGACCGATTTTTTTTTTCGTTTTGAGGTCCCTAGAGGCCAAAAACACCATCCGTTCAAATTCATATATATATATATATATATATTTATATATATATATATATATATATGTGTCCGTCAGCACGATAACTCAAGCAAAAATGATCCGATTTTGATGAAATTTGGTACAAACGTGTAAACCTAAGTTTATTCGAACGAGTTCGCGATCCAGCATGATCGGACCATGGGAACGGGTGTTTACGGGGGGTTTTATGGGGTAAAAATAGGTTTTTCCCATTTTTGACCCAAAAAACTTAAAATTTTGCAATTTATTTCCAAACCATTTTGTAGAGCTTAAAAAAACAAATAATTTAGTATATTGAAGCGTTATTATGCGCCTAACGGTTACGGAGAAAATTCCAAAAAATTGTAAATTTAAAATTCCCATGTTATTCTTATGGAGAATAAGTAAACTGTTGTAGTTTGCTTGTTTATGATCATATTTTGATCAAATTTGGAAAATGTTTTTATTTCTTACTAACTATTAACATTTTACAAAAAAAAAACAATTTTACCCTCCCATATGCAGCAAACCTAAGTACTTGTTAAACTAATTCTATTTAAATCGGGAATAAATGTTAAATTTTTAAGTAGACATTTCAGTGTAAATCCAATCAGTCAAATGGAAATTCGCTTAGTCTGCAGGTTTGCTGCGGCGGGGGTATTTATAATTATAATCTAGTAAAATTTACCAAGTTCCACCTCAATCTTAACTCAGGCTAAGGAAGGACATTTGAGGTGCAGTCTGTTACATTTTAAGGCAATACCTAATTAGAGAAAAGCAAACACAAAAACAATTGTCATGTATATAACACTGTCATAATTTATTTAATTCAATAAATTAATTATTTCAACTAATCTTAAGTAAGTCAAATTTTAATCTCACAATGTGTCAACTACAGGTTTATAAGAACTACAATATGTAACAAATCAACAAATCCCAATTTAATATGACTTAATAAATGAAAAAGCACATATTTTTGTTGGGGGTAGTTGAAGCAAACACTGATACATTATCTAAAGAATTAATTCTTATTAAAATTTTATATTTTAAAACTAGCAGTAAATAAATAATCAAGACATTTTTCTAGTGTAATTTAATGAAGTTAATTCGAAGCAGTTTAGCTATATACTAAAACAGTAAATAAATAATTGTTGTAGCCGAGGTCAAAGTACAACTAATCCTGAATGCATGACAAACTATTATGTGTATAACTGTATAGTTATATGAAACAACAATATATATTGTAAACTATCAATAGTTCTAAATAACAACAAAACAAAAGCAACCTTCTAAACTAACTCTAGTATTAAATATTACGATTTTACACCTTCATTGGTATCTCAGACAACTAGACTTTAGTCTAGGATCGCTTTTCAATAAATACTCTAGAATATTTACACCAAGTTCAAATTGTTGATTTACAAGATATAATCAGTCTCGCATCTAATTAGTTTGTGTAAACTATTATGTACATGACTAGTTGTGCAGCACCTGCGCGTGGGAACTATCTGGACGAGGAAGGTTTGAGAAGTCTTGACATGAGCATTCCGACGGCTGCCACAAATGCAATCCCTATACCAGCCTTCCATACAATAGACTCGTTTGACAGAATGGAGAGATCTCTTAAATGGCTGAAAAAGAACCTTCACTTCAGTTGCATTTAATAAAACCTTCACTTTAGTCGCATTTGCAAAAATAAGTTTTTAAAAGCATAGAAGAATTAAGGATGTTCTTTGGCATGCAACCTAACACAGTTTCATCAATTTAAGCTTAGGTCAGTGAATGTTGATATCTGTGGGGTAAAATGATGTTAAAGGAGTAAACAGTGAGAGACTTGGAAGTAAACAAATCGCAACAACTCAGCATATCAATAGTGGATTACACCACACTTCCCCTCTAGTGAAGTGTGAATAATATCAGGCTGTAAGACCAGAAGTATGTCCAGACAAATATTGGCATTTAGCAGAATTTAAAATCCCAACCATCAACAATTAAAAATGTAATGTTGGAAGTTATTAGGACTGGTTATTGATAAAATATATTTTGGAAACAGTCTAATTAAAATTATAAATAGACTTTCAGTAGAACACTCTTAAATGGTTTAGGATCCAAAGTAATTAAAGCATTTCACATGGTTTTGAGACAGAAAGATGTTCATTAAAAAGCTTGGTTATTTTTTAGCAATCAAGACTTATGTAAAGGTTATTTTTTAATAAAGGGAACTAAAAATATTAACTGTTCTGTCAATTTATATTTATATATCAAATTATTACATCCAATTTATATTAAATAAATTAGTAATATTTAAATAACTTACCATGCAAATATTAGTTTGGTCATCACACATATGCATTAAAGAATGTACTGGCAAAGATTAAGAATATTAAGGTTAAAAATATGATTTGAAGTTAATACAAGTAAAAAAAAAATAATCAAACATGATTTATAAATAAAAAGACAACAAAAGAAAAGTTAAGAAATGAGATGGTTGAAAAAGGTCACAATAATTCCAGTTAGATTTTTAAAAATAGCTTATACTTTTATTTTAATTTAGAAAACGTCTAGAAAAATTAATTTTGGGTTGGTACAAATATATTTAGAAAAGTAGTAACTGCGGTAAATTTAAAATTTGTTTATTGCTTTGAAAATGTTTGATTCTAGATGATTAAGGCATATAACATCACTGTGACAAGAAAAAGTATTTAGCATTCAAGAGGGGTATAATAGTAATAACAGTAATATGGTAATTGTCATAACCTATAGCTTATCCCTCAAAGACTTCCATACTTTGGATAAGTTATAAAAATGTCAATGTTTTTGTTGGACAAACTAAAATAAAGGTAATAAAATCACAAAAAAAGAACAAGCACTCTTGCAAGCAAAACCCAAAAAAGCATGAAAACAAAGATGCACAAAAAAAAACAAGCAAAATAATAAATTCAGCAACTCAAGCACAGAAAGCAACCTGGCAAAGTGAGAGATGAACTGAACTGGTGCAGAATGCAACATGAGGTGAACCACAGACTGCATACAACTGTAATAGACAACATGTGAGAAACATGGAACATTACGATACGAACCTGGTGTGTTGGTAGAACAGGAGCCAGGCAGCGTGGAACCGTCTGACAACACAGAATGACACTGTTACACCAGGGTAATGGAGGGACAGGAGTTGAGGAAATATCAACATTTCTTAGGTTTCAGTTGGAGAACTTGAGGCAATGGATTGAAAATAGTTGTAAGCTAAGAAACCTATGTTATTCGAGGGAATATTATAGACAATTTCCATCACAATTATGTATCAAAGTTTCTCCATCACTTCAGGATTTGCGATCTGATCCCATCCACAGGTGGGAAAGTACCTAAAACATTTCAAGATCAGTAAATAAACCCAGCAAAAGCTGGAAATCACAAATGAAAAACAAAGAAATGTTTAGTAGTCAAAATGAGAAACAAAAATTACTTAAAGGAAATAAAAATAAGTGCAACTACAAAGACAAGGTAGGCAAAAAAAAGTCTCCCTTGTAGCTGCATGTTATGCAGACGTGTCAAGTCTAATGAAATACACTATACAGCAAAATGTGATTTCCAGCCTTCACAGGGTTTGTATTACTAATTTTTTTATGTTTATGTAGTTTCCTACTTGAGGACATAAGGTTCCAGATCTCAAAGGTTGCTTTTTTTTGTACTGATTAATTGTGATGGACAGTTTTTGCAATAACCCCTTGATATAATGTTACCATCACCAAAAATAAACTTCAAACAAGGAAACTACAGTATTCTTAATGAACTTTTTATATTCTACCGTCATTTGTTCATCAACCTTTAATTCTTTAAATCTCTGAATTTTGAGCTTAAGCTGGGTTTAACTAGAATCGTCAACACTATGGCTGGGTAGCTGAATGGTTTACGTACTTGCCTATCGATCAAAAGGTCTTCAGTTTGATCCTGAGAAAGGTTAGTCGATTTTTGATGGTTTGAAACCGGACCCAGCTGTCCCAGATATAAATAAATGATCCTGACTAATGAACATCCTGATCTTAGTCAGTAACAACGCTACACAGCTTTATGTAGCTGTGATCATCTTAATGCTCATCTTACATCATTCTAATCTACACTCATCCTTCACTCATATTTGGGCACCAAGGTGGCATCTCAGTAATTAAATAATTAAATTAATTATTAAGTAAATTAAATTAAGTAAATTAAATAAAATTAAGTAATTAAATAATTGATATGATATGGTGTTCTAAAAAAATGAGGTAAATATCCTTAATTACAACAATAGTTTGTATTGCTGAGCTCTAAACTTATTTGTTAGCGCATAATAATTATTATTGTGGAAAATGTAATTGATGTATGTGTATTAATAAATGCCACTAAAACCAGACATATCCAACAAACTACCTGAGCATAGAACTGAATGATGTGTTTATTGATTTTCTGTTGTACATGGCCAATATAAAAAATATCATTGCTTAAATATGTGTGAACCAGTTGAACAAGCTAGCAGAACTCTAGGGTAGAACTTACGGGAAAGCAGCCATTGTTGCCAACTTGACAAACAGCTCCGAGGCAGACTCTTTGTTAGCAGTGAAGGCATGAGGGGGTGAAAGCTTCTGCAAGTCACAAAACTCTGCTGGCTGAAGATCAAACTCTTGCCTCACCTGTGGGGCAGAATAGATTTGTGGACGAGGGGGAAGAAGAATCTTAGATAGGCTAAAAATATTTTGTAGCAAATTCATTTTTTTAAATATTTATAATTTAAAAATAAAGAGTCTCGCTTAAAAATGTATATGTAGTTGAATGAAATTAAATTAAAATTCTTCTTTATTGAGGCAAACTTATGGTCCTTTCCTGCAGTTAGTTGACCTCTAAAAAAAACTAACAATTACAGTAAACCATAGCATTCTTCTTACCAAACTCAAACTTGTAGGATTCACAAACAACTTACTAACATTTTTAAAGTCAGTGATACGTATGAAACTATTGACTAAGACGTGCCTTGACGAATCATGACATCTACAATCTAAAACATTGTTCAATGGGCTGCAAAGAATGGACTAAGACTCAACCCCTACAAAACAAAGCCAATCATCATAGGTCACTCACTGACTGATGGTGGTGCTGAAGGGATATTATCTTAACTGGATGGCCGGGGCTTGGCAGGATGGCGGGCATTAAGCCTTGGTGCAGCAGAGAGTGTATGTGTGTGTGACTGTATGTTAGGGAAGCAAAAGAAATCCATGCTATGTAATTTGTGATATTTTTTTATTTAATACAAATTTTCTTGTTTTTACTTTTGTTAATCTTTTTTAATTATTATTAGGTTGTCCTGTTAGAAGATTGTCATGATTCATCAAGGCACTTCTTAGTCAATAGTTTCATTCGTATCACTGACTTTAAAAATGTTAGTAAGTTGTTTGTGAATCCTACAAGTTTGAGTTTGGTAAGAAGAATGCTATTGTTTACTGTATCGAAAGCTTTACTGAAGTCAAATAATCTTAAAATAGTGCATTTGCTACAATCTTTAGGAAATATATCATCAATGATATGAAGCATTGCTGTTTCAGTACTGTAAAATTTATGGAAACCTGTTTTAAAGCTATTAAGAATATTGTTTTGTGACAAAAAGTCAGAAACTTGGGAGTGAATGACTCTAAGACTTTAGGAAGAACATAAAGGATGCTAATTGAGTAATTGGTCTTTAGTCTTGGGGATGAGATCTTATTCAGTAGAACTTCAATTATCTGAGGTAATGGGGGGGAGGGAGACCACAGATAACTGAAACCACGATTAATCCTACATAAAAAACCCATACAAAGTATAAAACTGTATAAATGGAGTTAATGTGATATTACATCATCAAAATACAATTAGTAGGCTATTGCACATGTTAAGTCATTAACCTTGGCTCAGTAGTAATAAAAACTGTAACGTTTCTTTAAAATCATAGCTTACTCACTCAAACTTAAACTCATACAACGACAAAATCCTAATAGCAATAAATCACGTAAAACAGCTTAATAGAAATTCTAGTACCTACTACCTAGTCATAGGCTACTGTTATATGCTGTTTCAGGAAAGAAGAATGTCGATAAAAACAAAAACATTAGATTCCTCATTAAAAAGTATAAAATCGTAGTATTTAACGATAATAATAACAGTCTTAAATAAAATAAGATAAAGATAACAATGGCCATAAAATAATGATAAAAATTAAAAATATGACATATTCTTTCTCTTTGTAATTCTATTCTTTCTAGGGTTTCTTTTTATACACACTTTCAACAAGTTGTCATGGTTAATAATCACCCAACCAAAGTCTACTAAAGTTGCCATGGTTAGGCTACTTAATCACCCAATCACAGGCTACTAAAGTTGTCATGGTTACTGATTGCCCAATCCCTAACTGTTGTGACTAGCAAGCGCACAGCAGGCAGATGTGTTTGGAGCAGACGATTGTCAGTGCAAGGGGATAGCTTGACCTTGAAGAGAAGAGAAGCTACCGATCTTCTTTAGTCAATTGAACTGTGATGTTTCAAAAGCAATAATGTTAGGGCTTAGGCCTACTGTAAATAAATAATTTAATAGTTAAATATAAAATGCATTCCAACACATTAGTCTAAAGTAAGATACATATTTTATAAAATTTTCTTGGACAATGAGGTTATGCAACCTTATTTTGGAGGCATCTATTGACCACGGTTAATCCGCCGCCCTGGTTCATCCGCCCCCGGTTAATCGAGATTCTAATGTACAAGTGCAGAGAGAGTTGGACGTAGACATTAGCACGATGTTTTCCGTGGCGTAGGCCATTTGCTGTTTTTATCATCAGTCTTGTTGAAAGTAGAGACCAAAGTTACCGGTAGAAGAATTTTAGATGCAGATCGAAGAATGACTGAACAAGAGAGATTTCTCAACTTAAGGGGGACGTCTCAAACCCAAATTCACACATATTTAAATATGTTCACGTGTATAAGACTATCAAAGACTACAGTAACTCTTAGTAAATTTAAACATGCCGATCATCAAGCAATGTTTACTAAATTTAACGACTGACTCGATGGAAACTGATGAATACACGTTGCTGGCTAATGTGTACAACCTTCTGCAAAGCTTAAGCCACTTATGCACACTTTCTACACCAGAACACTTTTCTGCATAGTGCATACACATCCATCGATCGACTGTCAATTTTAACAGCGGTTGGCTCCCTTACTACAGAAACCTGATCACTGAACACCACTAACACCAGTGGTGTCATGGTAATTTTTGCAGTTCCGTAATGGTGCACCTGGCCCAGAACTGAGATATTATAGGCCAGCAGCCCCCCCCCCCCCATAACTACACGTAGCAGAATTGTTTATGTTATAATGTAAAATTGTCCAATTTAGTGTTTTTACTTTTTGACAAGCTTTTTGAGTTTTTTTTTATGCTGTATGCTAACTTGTGCCAAAACTTACATATTTAGTATATTGCAATATTGTACTGCAGAATTAATACAGACATATACACAAGAATATTACTTTTTCCAAGAAATAGTGTTTGCTTTATTGTATATTTTAGGTTAGGAAAAAAAATAAAAGTTAAAATATTACAAAAACCTAATAATGATGTTAACAAATAAAAAACCATTTCTTTACAAATATTTTTTGTATATAAAAATGCTTTATTTCAGATATCATAAGTCATGAAACGGTGTTCTAAATAAAGTCTTTGACGATTCTTGAACCACTTTTCTTCAAACCTTTTCTAAATAAGTTAAACAAATGGATTTTTTTAAACGTTTATATTAGCCCGCTTTCTTGTCCGGTACAAATTTTGCAATAAATTTTGAACTAACTTCCCGATGAGCTAGAAACTAGAAACTAGAAACATAGCTCACAAATGGATAACAATGCAATACTGTATAATTTTATTTTCATATTCCCCTTGGACTAAGCCCAATGGGCTTCAAAATTTTCCATGTTTACATTATTATGAAAGAATATAAATATATCAATTAATTTAAGTCAGCTGTAAATACTTAAATTTGACAGTTCAAAGAGCAGAGGTTAAGAGGTAGGTAAATGTTCTGCTCCCGAGATATTCTAAAAATATAAAACAAGCATTTCAAAGTAAAGATAAAACATCTTATTACAGATAACAAGGTTTTGGTTATGTATTAACAGGCCATATAAAATAGATTTAACGTATTTACACATCAAAGACTAAAAAGTAGAAAATAATTTATAAATAAAAATAGTTTTTAAAAATGCCATGTTTTTAAACGCACTAAAAAGTAGAAAAAATAATTTATAAATATGATGAGAATCATATAATATAAAATCACTTCAGGAAATAGCCCAGAGCATAGGTCTAAAAATGTCTTTTGAGAAAACTGAAATAATGTTAACAAAACCACCATTGGCTAACAAAATCAAAATTGGAGAACATTGCATCAAAATTGTAGAAAATTTCAAATACTTAGGTGAAGTTATAACGTACCATCTTAAAGAAAATCCATCATGGAAAAATAGAATTAATAAATTGATCAGAATGCAACATATTACTAAAAACACATACAACAAAAAATACCTATCAATAGCAACAAAATTGAAACACTACAAAGCAGTCATACTTCCACAAATAACATATGCAAGTGAAACTATAAAGGGTGATTGATATAAGTGTGCCAGCCGTTTTATTCAAAACTATAAGATATCAAAAAAAGTTAAATGGAAAGTGCCTTGGATTTTTTACTTAAAAAATTAATTGTAGTCAAGTCCAAAAAATTATTTTAGCTGCCATTTTTCCAATATGGCCGCCAAATTTGATTTTTCTTATGGAACACCCTGTATTTTATGATGTACTCCGGTAGAAAATGTAATTTTAAGATGATTTTATTCTTGTAATTTGTTTCATAAACCTAACAGTTTCATAGATAATAATGGTTTGCGTTGTGGAATTTCGTATAGTTAAAAAAAAAAAAAAAAACCAGCTGGCATGCTTGCTTAGACCTTTCTCGAAACTCTTTCTCATGCCGAAATTTCAAAACTTTAACCATTATTATCTTTTAAACGGTTAGGTTTATGAAAAAAAATCAAAAGAATAAAATTGTCTTAAAATTACATTTTCTACCGGAATATATCATAAAATACAGGGTGTCCCGTAAGAAAAATCAAAGTTGGCTGCCATATTGGAAAAATGGCGGCTGAAATAATTTTTTTGACTTGACTAGAATTTTTTAAATAAAAAATCCAAGGCACTTTTCGTTTAACTTTTTTTTAGGGGTGGGCGAGTACTCGACTGTCGAGTAATTACTCGAGTAGTTGGCAATACTCGACAGTCGAGTCGAGTAGTTAAAGATACTCGTGACTCGAGTCGAGTAGTAGACTAAGCCGATTTCATTATTTTCATTGATATTTGACAAATAAATAGTAAGAAAGGAAAATGTTTGAGTTTTATTTAATCCCTTAACCCCTTTAAATATTGACATACTAGGCCTACTAATAATCGACAACCATTATCATTATTATTGTTGGTTCGCTTGCGTCATCCATTTCACTGACAGCGACAGCGACAGTGCCGACAGCTGAGCTGACACTGGGTGATAGGCAGTGGTGTAGTAGGTGTGCGAATGCGATGCATCGAATCCCGATTCGATCCAGCATGCATCAAAATA